AATTTATTTTTGGTTATTAATATAACATTTTATAAAAATAATAATTAAATATTTTGTTAGAATTCAATGATTATCTTAATTATATTTTATATTTTTATATTTAAAATGAAATGTTTATCCTGTATTTGATTATGTTTATCTGCAATTAGTTATACGAGTTCAGATATGAAACTTTAATAAGTTGTACTTACGTACAATTTACCTGTAATCTTGAGTTTTAAGTAATATAAATTAATAAACAATAATTTATCTATACTATATTATAAAGAATTTGACAAAAACTCTTAAAAACTATTTTTTATGCATGAAGTACTGTATATTGATGCATATTACTAAAATTCAAGATTATAAGTAAATTATGCATAAATATAACTTATTAAAAGTTCATTTTTGAATTCGTGTAATTAACTATGGATAAATATAATCAAATAGAGGATAAACATCTTATTTTAAAATATAAAAAATCTAAAATATAATTACGATAATTATCGAGATCTAACAAAATAATTAATTATTATCTTTATAAGAGAATTATATTATTAACCAAATATAAATTACTTCGTTATTGAACATAAATTAAATTATAATTAATAAAATTGAATTAAAAAATTATACAAGAAATAAGAATTTTAAATAGTTAATTTGATACTAATATCGATATACTTTTGTCAAATTTTTATGATATTTTCAAATTTATATTTTATTCGAAAATAAAAACATTATCGGTTTTTCAAAATCATATTATAACATCGATTGAGATAAAAAATAAAACGAAATACTAAAATCAAGATGTATCTTACTGCATTACACGAATATCATTTTAATACATAAAAAATGATTTTTAAGAATTTTTAATAACATAATATAGATACTGGGAGTGAGAGGTCAGATGGCGTAGAATCTTAAAAACTTCCAAAAAATATCTTTTATTATTTTTTCATTATTATATTAATTTCATATGGAAATAGCCTTTTTTTCTGTGGCTTTCGACTAACCATTTTCATTATCCTCTCTAGATAATCTCTTCCTCACCATTTTCATTTTAATCCAACCTCTTCATATAAACCCTAGTTTTATCTTTACTATCACAACACCAATCCACCATCATCAACCTTTTGCTTCGTTCATATCGATTCAATTTTCACTCTGTTTTCAATTTTGATTCTTGATTGCTGCTTTTCATGCCTGACTCGATTCAATGAGACTTCTCTCAAGTCCCGATGCTTCTCGTTAGCCATGGCTTCTGCTCCATTTTTGTCAGGTACTTATCTATTACTTTCAGTTTTACTGCTACTGGATTTTAATTGCGTTTGCGGTTTGCTCGATTGAATTTTGATTGTGAATCTTGACAGTGTCTGTGGAATGTGTGAATTTGTCTAAGTATTCTAAAGGCGATGGAAGTGGAAGATATGATTGTAGTCCAATTTCGTGTGCTTGGAAGGCTCCAAGGGCGTTGACTGGTTTACTAGCTAGTACTGCTCATTCCTCGCCCTTGAATCATGGACAGAGTGAAAGAAAGATTCGTCGTGTCAATGTAATTATGTAACACTCACTTTTTCTATACATGAAATTCTTGTTTTTTTAACCTTTCTGTTAACAGATTATATGTATTGTGGTGTATATTTTGATGCTAATTCTCGTCTTACCTTTGCTAATAATAACGTGACTTTGCAGTGCGTTTCATGTCAATTTGGTAGAAAGTTGTCTTTTGATTACAACTTAGCTGTGAAACAGTTATTTGTTAAATAATAATGTTATTCACATCAATGTTCTAGAGGCTAGATAGTTGTGCTTACAGCTCCTACTTGCTGCTAAACCTTTCCTTCTGGATATTGGGAATTTACTAGAATCGAAATCTTTTAGAACTGATTTCTTGAACATAAACTAGGGGTAATATGTTCTGCTTGTCTAAACCTTATTGCAATTATATATCCATGTAAAGAAAAATAAGAACTTTGTTGCAATCGGTCCATGTATATGCATGCTAAATCATGTGAGGAGCTCTTAACATTGTGTCAAGCATCTGGAGTTACAAACCACTTGCTTTTGTCCATCCAATACCCATAGAACGAATTACATTGTTGTCGAAGACATATATGTTGGTTTTTGGTTTCATAGTCTCTTTGAGTTATTGGAATACTTTAAATTGTTCAGGCTTTTAAATGGAAGGGATGTAACTGGCCTGTTTCTCTCATAATCACCCAAGTTGAAGAGCAGTTCAGGATCAAGTCCAAGACAGACATATTTGTTTCCTCTGATCTCATATATTGTAATCGCAAACTAGCTACAAGAAGGAAATCTGTTGATAACAAATAAGTTCTTACCAGTTCATCTACAAACATTGTCGAATGGTGAATTATTAGGAGATTTTTTGAAAGTAGAAGCTGAAGTGCATGGGATTAGTTCCTAGACGATCTAAACTGTTCCATCATCTCTATCTTTTCTTGGATGTATACACATCAACCAACTCCATACATTGATGGAAATCAACGGATTCAATCGTAATACCAAGTTAATGCAGTTGGTATGATTTGTAGTGTTCTCAGTTTTGGGGGTTTTGAGTCGGACGATAGGGTTTTAGTTTAACCGTCTGATCTTAGGAGGATGATTCAAAAGTTCCGGTGTTCCAATTGGCAATAAATACTTTCACAAAGAAAAGGTGTTTCTCTGTACTTTTCTGCGCATGATGGATCAGTTGGCATGCATTGGACATTAATGATTAACCATCAAAGTAAAGGGCATTCTGGCTTCACCTTGTCTATACAGGCATAACGGGTTCATGGAATTGGTATTCATATGACGTAAAATAAGGCAGGGGTGGTCCAACAGATCCATCTGTCATCAATTCAACAAGCAACAAAGGGAGGGGAGATGAATAGGAAATTTAAAGAGTAAAACAGAACGGGGAGAGACATAACATGCTTGATTGTTGTTCTACTTTTTATCTTTATCTTCAGTATCTATATTTGTACTGAATTATGTAGATTATTTTTACCAGGAAAGGAGAAGACAAGAGGAAACCATGAATGATGTTTGGTTAAAACGACGAGCAGTCCTGGAACAAAATCTTGAAATTATAATTTGCGTACAAGATTGTAATACTTACTACATCAGTGATATTGAAACTGAACGGAGTTTTTTTTATTTAATTTATAACCTGATCAAAAAAGGATGCATAAGTTGAGAATGCTAGTGTACGCATGTGAAAGATCTACTGCAAAGTTTAGGAGTGCTTCTTGTACAATATTTTGTATCATGACCCACAAAATAAATTGATGAGGGAATTAGTTAGACTTAGACTCAGTGAAGTTATATCTTTGTACTTGTTTAATGTGAGCTTGAGAAATTGTTCTTCGTCCTGATACTTTACTTTGCACTGATACTTAGGGCAATGCTTATTCATCTTATCTCACTTCCTTGTTGAAGTGTCATGTTATCACCCAACTTGTTTTGCACTGTCAGATAGCTGGTATTGAGGATTTATACATTTTATAAATGCAAGATCAAATTCCTTTCTTGTATTTTAATACTGATGGTGGTCTATCAACTTGATACTTACACCAGAGATGTGAAGCTGCTAGCATGGGGGCCTGGTTATCTTTTGCTTTGGATCACTTACCTCCACGAAGACTTGTAAGGTCAAGTTTGCCCGATCTTGTCTGTAGGAAATGGGTAGTGAGCTGTTCTTCATCTCTTCCTTCGGGATATGATGAAGTTTCTCCTGAAGATTTGTGGGAGGTATGTGGATTTGTTGCCAAGCTGTTGGTTCTTTTTATGAGAAAATATAGGAACAGTATACAAAATATATGTTGTAATTGCACCAGATAAATAACTTTTTACTTATTTAATTGTGTCCATGTGTATCTTAGGGACTGAAGCCTTTGTTTTTTTAGCAAAGAGAATAGATGCTTCCTTTGGCCTAAGGCAGTTATTTTAGCCTTGCCGAATGTATCGTATTAGTTACTGCATTCTTATATTCAAATATTTACTGAGCAGCAAACCTTGGAATAATCCGTGAAGTTACTCCTTTCTGACTTTTGAGTCATGAAAATAGCTTCTTTGCAAAATCACAAGGGTAAGGCTGCATACAAAGGCTTCCTTATGGAACCCTTGCAAAGCCAAGGAGCCAAGCCTTGGTGCACACAGGTTACCCTTTTGTAAATACTTTGGGGGGCATGGACTATTCCACGCTTCATATCTATCACCTACTCCTAGTTGTCTCTCATCATCATAATTTGTAACAACATATGATCAAAGCCTTTTTTTTTTAAGTTTTAACTTTGGAAATCTAGATTGTAAAGTGTAGCAATTAAATTGGACACATGGAAATGAGGACGTATCAACCGTCTAATCTACTACTTCTATACTTTGATTCTCATAAGAGGTTATTAGTCAGTCTATTAATTTCAGTACAATCATAATAATTCTTACCACTCTACTGAAGCAAAACAATGATACCCTGCTGGAAGTATTTTGCTTGACCAGGTAGCATTTATTTTCAATATGACAGTTAATTAATCTGCAATCAGGTTACATATGTTCATAGGGCTAAGAAATAGTGCGTATTATTAGGATAAATGTAACAATCAAAGAATCTTCAAACTAAAAGTTTTCTTTTGACTCCGAAACAATTTGTTGCTTTAGCTTCACTGCTTCACCTTAACCTTCAAAACGAATATTGCTAAACACCCCCTGTCATCTCAAACCTTGTTGTCTTTGGAAATACATTTAGATGCCATAGGATAAGATGTGTAATACTGTAAGCAGCACCATAGATAAAGATTACGTTATGATTTTGAGCAGTTAAATAGGGGTTATTAATCCCCTGTTGTTTTGATTACCACAGGATCTTAAGCCTGCTATTGCATACCTTACATCCGATGAGTTAATATTAGTTCGCGGTGCTCTAAATGTAAGTTTTCACAGTCCTAATGTATGATTATTGTTTATTAATGGAGTGATATCATTTTAAATCATTGTACTAGACATTTCATTTTGAGGCAAACAATGTACTTGATGAAAATTAAAAAAATTAAAAACTACTTCTAGCAAAAACCACTCTGTTGGCAGGAGATAGTGAACAAAAAAAAATCTGGTATGTCTTCTGTTCAGTGGTTTCTGCCAACTGGTGTGCTTTTTTTTATTTTACATTTGCATGTATGTTGGTTGTTTAGAAGCAAATTGCCAAGCAAAAGAAACATGTTAACTACTCTTTATTAATGTTATTACCCTTCTTGCTGCATTTCAGATTGTTTTTGTGCTGTTTTCTTTTTATCTATCCATATATGAAGCAAACATCTGAATCGAGATTTGATGGTATATGTCTGATGTCTTTGGAAGGTCATATAATACCATGAAAAATTGATACAAATACTTGACTGCTACTTATTATCGGCAATAAGTTTGATGTGCTAATCATAGAGCTTTTGAAGATAAGGTGCTTTAATCCTAATTTCTGTTGATGATGGTTAATTTTTTTTGTAGCTGGCCTTTGAGGCACATGATGGGCAAAAACGACGAAGTGGAGAACCGTTTATCATTCATCCTGTTGAAGTTGCAAGAATTCTGGGGGAACTTGTGAGTTGCACAATATTATGAATGGTTCTTATGGAAATAACTATTTAGATATCCCATCAGCAATTATTGGGGACATTTCTAAGTATATTGAATTTCTATGCTTCATTTACTTCTGGATAATGGTGTAATTGAGATAACTTAGCTGACCAGTAGCCATTTTAAAGGAATTGGACTGGGAGTCGATTGCTGCTGGTTTATTACATGACACAGTTGAAGATACAAACCTTGTTACTTTTGAAAAAATAGAGAAGGAATTTGGTGCAACTGTCCGTCACATTGTTGAAGGAGAAACTAAGGTGTTCTATCTTGCATATAGTACATTTTTGCAGTTGTCATCTCATTTTTTGTTGCTAGATATTGCATGTGTCAAACTTGATTCCTGTCTCTGGTTCAGGTGTCAAAACTGGGAAAGCTGAAGTATAAAAATGAAAGTCACTCGGTACAAGACGTGAAAGCACATGATCTTCGACAAATGTTTCTAGCCATGACTGAGGAGGTAACATATTCATTGATTAGTGATTATCCAAGTTCTTAATTATGTCAACTTTCACCGAATATGTTGCTTTTTTCAGGTCAGGGTGATAATTGTTAAATTAGCGGACAGATTACATAATATGCGGACTCTTTCACATATGCCTTCACATAAGCAGGTGGAGTCGAAATTCGATCGAACATCTGCCAAGCTGTATTTTTCAAGGTCTCATTGTTTTTATAGTTTTTGACCATGTACAGTCCAGCATTGCGATGGAGACGCTGCAGGTTTTTGCTCCTCTTGCAAAGCTCCTGGGGATGTACCAAATTAAGGTAGACGGAGTCACATAGATACTATAAAGGAGTCTTTTTTTTGGTATAGCTTTTTACTTCACATGTAATTACTTGATCTTTTCTGTCTATAGACCTAACTCCAGCAAAAACTAAATTCATTTCATTTTTCGTCAAAGATCCACTATTGGTATGTTTGTGGTTAGGAATATTTATGGTTCAAAAGCAATCTTGAAGAAGAATGAAATCAAGTTCATCAATAAGGGTAGCATCTTTGTGGTGTTGATCTACTGCATTACACTATAAATAGGCCATTAATGGCTTGTAAAAGTATTACAAACTAGTTTCATTTCATTTTGCTCATTGGCCTGGGTTTTTCTTATGCATGCCTAGTATGTCTTCATGCATAATATTTTTGCTGGAATATGAAGGTTCAGTACTGTATTTTTTTCTCAGAGACCAACAACAGTTTTTTGTACCTGGCTTGCTGTGTCTGTTTATTGGTCTGATTTCTTTTTTGTGCTTTCATGGTTTCTGTACCACTGATCCTTTTATATATGTGCATACCCTTCTCAGTAGGAACAATGTTTTCTTTGCAGTCTGAGCTTGAGAATTTGTCCTTCATGTACACAAATCCTCAAGATTATGCTAAAGTCAAGAGACGAGTTGCAGAACTCTGTAAAGAACAGGAGAAAGAAATTGAAGAGGTACTTTACTCCTAAGGGTTTAAACGTCATCGTCTATAGGAAAATTACATGTTAATGTCTTCTAATCATTCATTTATTTCACCATTTCTTTATTTTGGCTTTTCTTTTTCTTCCTCTCTTAGGCAAATAAAATTTTGATCAAGAAAATTCAAGATGATCAGTTCTTAGACCTTATGACTGTGAAGACTGAAGTGCTTTCTGTCTATAAGGAACCTTACAGGTTGACTGTTTGAAGCATTTGTATCCGTCTGTCTTATTATTTGATTATATTGACTATTTGAAGCATTTGTATATTTCTGCAATGATCCCCCTTTTTAGTTGTAAACGTATATTTTTCAATTAGTTCATTTTCTTTCTGAAGCTTTCAACTGCATCTTGTTGATTTTGAAGTCTTATACTTGCAGCATTCATAAATCTGTGCTCAAATCCGGAGGTTCAATTAATGAAGTTAATCAAATTGCACAGGTAGATAATCAGTGGCTGACAAGTGGTTTATCTAGAAACCTTGAGTTAATTCTAATTATTTTTTCCTGACATGCTTCTATGCATTTCGATTGACAGCTGAGGATTATTGTTAAACCCAAGCTTTGTGTGGGTGTAGGGCCTTTGTGTAACGCACAGCAGGTAAAGTTTATATTTGTCGAATATTTGTTGCAGCGTTTAGAGAAACTTAACTCAGACATTCATACTGGTTGTGCTACAGCCACATGCCTTGCCTCATAAACGTTATTTTCATGCAGATATGCTACCATGTTCTTGGGCTGGTACATGGGATCTGGACGCCTATACCTCGAGCAGTGTGTATCTTGGCCATTTGTCTTTCGTTTGAGTTGATATTGAGCTCCTCTTATTAATGATGGAAATGATGAAGAGTTGTACAACTTTTTTGCAGATGAAAGACTACATTGCAACCTCAAAACCCAATGGGTATCAGAGCCTTCATACTACTGTGATTCCATTTCTTTATGAGAGCATGTTTCGTCTAGAAGTTCAGGTAGATTCCTCATGAAACTCTTTTCTGCCACTTTGGTTTCTTTTGTTGTTAACCATCAAAGTTATTTTTACCTTGCCTTCAGTAGATAATGTTGTAATATTTGAAATTTAGAGGACTAGAGAAGTTGATATTGCTAATCAACTGATATGTGTCGTTAAGGGGTTATTTGGTTGGTTTTTCATCAAGTTCTGTATGGATAAAGCTGTCTGTGTGGATTAATTTGTCGTTATAGATTCGGAATGTTTTTGGTTGGGAGGGTTAGGTTCGGAAAAAACTTGGCTTTCTGCATAAAGCTCCCCCTAGAAGCTTAAAGAATAAGCTACTTTCTATATCATTAAGTTACTACCAAACAATCATGTATAGCTGACCAATAAGCTGCGAGTCCTATTAAGCCCGTTGAGCTGCTAACAAACAGGCCCTAACTTAAACAAGGACTGTTAAATAGGCCAAAATATAACAAGAAACGTGGAGAGAAAGCGACAGACTCTGTAAAAAGCCTAAATGTACTGAACTACATAACACCTTAGAGCATCTCCAATGGAGGTTCTTATAAGAACCTACTTTTTGTACTTTTTCTTGCCAAATCATTTCCAACTCACCAAATTAATAACCTCCATAAACTCCACAACAGTAGTTCTTATAAGAACCCATTTTATGGGTCCCATGTATAATATAAGTTAAATAAATATATACATGTTAATTATTATATTGGATATAAAAGTAAGTCATGAAAATATATGAAAAATTAGCAAATTGTCACTTCACACTAATTTCAAGGTAAGAACTAAGGTTCTTGCACAAGAACTCAAAGAGGGTGAGGTTCTTATAAGAACTTGTTGGAGTCCCGCAACGGCTAGATTTGGACCATTCCTCCTACATATATGTTGGAACCTCCCCATTCTCCTCGAAGGCTCTTTTGGAGAGTGATATGGGGGTTCCACATATTTTCACATAATATAAGAGCCAAAGTCAGGCCCTTTAGGTACCCGATGGGACAATGTGTCCTTCTAGCCTCCATCAGAGGGGCGTGTTGGAGTCCCACATCGGCTAGACTAGGACCATTTCTCCTACATATATATTGGAACCTTCCTTTCTCCTCAAGGGCTATTTTGGAGAGTGATATGGGGGTTCCACATATTTTAACCAAACTCTCTACAATGTTGGTTCTTGTAAGAAGCTACACTTTTTGCTTATGAGAACCTTGCATTGGAGATGCTCTTATGCTGAAAACCAGGAACATATCAGGAGCCATATCAGCCACTAAAGCTTCAGATTGTGACACTTAACAGAAATAGACCAACAGTTAGAATTAATAGTATTCTAACAGATTAGTTTCATTTTTCCTCGAGCACTTGGGACAACCAATGCTTACATACCATCATATTATGATTTGCAGATTCGAACTGAAGAGATGAACTTGATAGCAGAACGAGGTATTGCTGCTCATTACAGTGGAAAAGTCGTTGTTAATGGCTTAGTCAGACATACAATAGCTAACGACAGAAACTTGAGAGGGAAAACAGTCTGCCTTAACAACGCAAATGTGGCCCTCAGGGTATGGTATATGTTACTCTTCATCATGATAGTAAATTGCTCATTTCAACTGATCTTCTAGATAGAAGTTCTTCATCTTTCTGACCCCATTGGTAGTTATATGGTTGCTTTCTTTCTTTAGATTGGCTGGCTCAACGCAATTAGAGAATGGCAAGAGGAGTTTGTTGGAAACATGAGCTCTAGAGAGTTTGTAGATACAATCACCAAGGATCTTCTAGGTAGTCGCGTCTTTGTATTTACGCCAAGGGGAGAGGTAAAATGACGAAGTCTGTGTATACATGGCATACCATTTTGTATGTCCCTAAATTGTTTTTTGTTTCCTATTAAGATTATTCTTTACATGTTACAGATTAAAAATTTGCCAAAAGGAGCAACTGTCATCGACTATGCTTATATGATACACACTGATATTGGAAACAGTATGGTGGCTGCAAAGGCAAGTCCTTTCTGGTTGATGAGTGTTTTCTTTCTGGAGGATCTAAAGTCTAATGGTATTCTCTGTCTTTTTTAGGTCAATGGCAATATTGTTCCTCCCTTGCATGTGCTTGCAAACGCTGAAGTTGTGGAGATAGTGACATATAATGTTAGTTGATCTCTTATCTAAACAGTCATCCTCTACTAGTTGAGAACAACTAACTTGCGTTTTGTTTCTTAAGATTCTTATAAAGATAGTCCCTAAATTCCATGTAAATGGATTCCATGGATATATACAAGCTGCAATAACGGAAATTGTGTGTATCGGGTCTTCATCAACATTTGAGTGACTCGATGCTAACAAATCAGAAGTTTATTTTTTCTATTATAATATGGAAATTGAAGTCGTACATCTGTCATTCTGGGAAGAGGGTCTCAGTATTGTCGTTTAGATGGTCAATTGTTTTTCGCTGCCTAATACGTTTCTTGACCACCAGGCTCTCTCAAGCAAATCTGCTTTCCAGAGGCACAAGCAATGGCTGCAACATGCAAAAACACGTAGTGCCAGACACAAGATTCTGAAAGTAGGTTACCTTGAATTTTGATAATTGAATGTTTCTGACCCGCAATCTCATATAACTTATATGAACTGGCTTGCTGCTTTCTTCAGTTCTTGAAGGAGCAAGCTGCCCAATCTGCATCTCAATTAACACTTGATTCAGTCAACGAGTTTCTTGCTGATTCTGGAGATGATAGTGAAGTTGAAGAGGTAGCAGACTACTCTAAAGGGACCCGTCATACGTGGGAGAAGATTCTCATGAATGTCATGGAAATGTCATCTATGAAGATGATCAGTGAAGATCTTTTTCAGTTCAAGAACGGTAGTATTAAGGTTCCCAAGGTTAATGGAAAACACAACAAGCATTTGCAGCATGTGAATTTGAAGGCCAAGGGAGATGCATTATCTCATGGTAATGGTGTTGCTAAGATGGTTCTTGCCGACGTTCCAATGTATAAAGAAGTGTTGCCCGGTCTTGAAAGCTGGCGTGATGGGAAGGTTGCATCCTGGAGCGATTTTGAAGGACACTCCATCCAGTGGCTGTGCATTGTTTGTATAGATCGGAGAGGTACACTTTCCTTACCAAGAACTAGCAACTGCCATTATTCATTGCCCACTATGCAAACATTTGGCATAACAAATATTACTTAGATCCCAGCTTAATGAGCGTAATGGGACTCAGCTTGTCAGCTATACGTGACTGTTTGGTAGTGGCTTAATGATATAGAAAATGGCTTATTCAGTAAAGGTTCTAGGGGGAGCTTTATGCAGAAAGCCAAGTTTTTTTCCAAACCTGCCTCTTCCAATTAAAAAACATGCTTATTCCATCTATGAATGCAAAAACCTTCACAATCTATATAGACAAATTGATCCGCACAGACAACTTTATTCATACACGACTTAATGGAAAACCAACCAAACATCCCCTTAGCCGAACCCAACCAAACCAAACGAGCCCAGTATATACCACCCGGAGGTGGGATTTGGGGAGGTTAAGATGTATGTAGACCTGTCCTCTACTCTAAAGAGTAGAGTGACTGATTCGGTGAAGACCCCTGGCTAGTGGGTTAAGTTGTTTTGTCCGGATAACTTTTGTCTGTCTGAGGGACGTGAGACTGATGGGTTTGAGAGAGGGAAAGAGAGGTTTTTTTTTTCTTTGGGTGTTTATGCAATTAATTTGTTTGGAGGCTGCTTAATGGGACAAGTGAGGGGGCTTGTTATTCCATATAGCCATTTTGGCTTAATGTCTTAACAGTTAAGCTGTAAAGAACCACTTGTGTAGTTCTGTATGCTGAGCGAATAAGCTGTCTAGACCGTTAAGCTCCTTAAGCTGTAAATAAACAGCCCCTCTGGATTCTCATACTGCTTAGCCAATCTATCAATTATGATGTAGTGATATATTTAATCAACGCAATATGCTGCTTTAACTTCAAATATTTTTGGGGAATATTGATCATGCATTGAGCATATTAGAAGGGCTTTTTTTTACTATTATTCCTAACTACCTACATTCACTGCTAATTCACAGGCATGCTTGCTGATATCTCAAAGGTGTTGGCAGATGTTGGTGTCACAATATGTTCATGTGCGGTGAGTGACCGACCTCCACATTTCTGCTGAATGCACATTGTGTCTCCTTCAATCTTTATGTACTCCCTAATAAGTTCCCACCGTAAAAAAACACACAGTTCTAGAAATATGTAAATAATTTAGGTTTTAAATAAAGTAAGAGCATCTTTAACAGATTCTTAGGACCTTTCTCTAAAACAGAGAACCAAAAGTTAAAATTTCAAAAAGAAAACTACATTCAACTCCAACAAATTCTCTAATTTTAGAGATTTCAACATTAATTATATGATTAAAATATTCTATAATCTTATCATCCCAATATAGTTTTAAAAAAAGCTTCATATAACAAGAGCATCTTCAACAAATTCTGTAAAATAGAGAAAATATAGTTTTTGTTCTCTATATTGCTTCAATAGATTCCCTATCTTGTTCTTTAAAATAGAGAAACCTAGACGAAAACTCTATTATAGAGAATTCTCTAAAGCACACTTGTGAGGAGAGAGAAATGTTATTTTAATATTTCCCACCAATGAGATTGATTTATTAGTTTTTCATATGAAGGTTTTCTTAATTATTAGTTGGGATGATAAAATTATAGAATATGTTAATAGTATGGTTGATGTTGAAATTCTCTAAAATAGAGAATCCGTTGGAGTGGAATGTAATTTTTATAGAGATTTGGATTTTTTATTTTAGAGAATCTGTTGGAGATGCTCTGATAATAATAATAACAATTCAATCTTATTGGAATGAATGAATAAAAAATCATTTATCCCCTTAAATTTGGAGATTTTCCTATTTTAAAGAACAATTTAGAGAATCTGTTGGAGCAAAATAGAGAAGAAATCTTGGTTTTCTTTATTTTAGAGAATCTGTTGGAGATGTACTACGTGACAATTATACTATTACTAACAGAGGGAGTAATGGATTTCTCCATCTCATAATCAAAGGGTACTATTGGAAAGTAGGCACATGTTTTTAAAAATGGACATTTCTTTTGGGACGGATGGAGTAATTTTTTGTTATGTTATGCTTGATATTTATACTTGTGTGACAATTAAACAGGCTGAAATCGATAGAGGAAAAGGAATGGCTGTCATTCTCTTCCACGTCGAAGCAAGCTTGGACAACATGGTAATTTGTGTCGTCTATTATTTCCAATCGGGTGAAAGTTGTTTTTGGAGGCTTACATCTTTGTGGTGGTCCAGGTTAGCGGGTGTTCGCGTGTTGATTTGGTCCTTGGGGTCTTAGGATGGTCCACCGGGTGCAGCTTAACCGAAACTCAGCAAATACGAGAATGTTGATACGCGTTACCTGGTCAGGTAAGAAGTTTTGTCCATTTGGAATTCTACCAAGATTCTTTATTTGGTATATATAAATATCATTATATATATCTGTCCAACCATCAAATAAGTGAAGAAAAACTAGGAATTTGATGAAATCTGTAGAGAGAGGGGAGTGTATATAAAGGAAGAGACAAGGGGATGGCTGATTGGGAAGTATACATGTAAAAATACATGAAGTGATAATAAAGAAGTGAGTGATACACAAGTGGATGTCCATCCTTTGTCTTTTTATCTTTTTTTTTTTGGCATTGGTTACTTTGAATTTTATTTGTGGGGTTAACTCAACTGACAATAAGGTTTGGGTCTTTAGTCTTTAAGGATTCTTCTTAGAGGTTACTTGTTCAAGTTCTGCAATGCAAGACCACTTGGGATTTTGTGGCTGTTCTCGAGAGCCCTTAGTATTGGTAGAGGTGCATGCAAGCTGACGCTGACACCCTCGGTTAAAAGTAACACAAAATGAAGACAAAAATAGCAAATTGACATGAACATGATGTTGCGTCTATCGAAAGTAAAAAGATGGACTTAATATCAACCATCAAGTAACTATCTATTGCAAAATATAACCATCAAGTTTTCAAAAGAACCATGCTACTTGCCAACAAGTATTTTTCCATAACTCGATTCATGTGCAGTTACACATAAAAACGTGTAACCCTGTCGGTGGTTGAAAAGCTAACCGGGTAATTAATAAGCTAGATGATAAGCGTGTCATGATGAATAAAAACTAGCCGATAAGTTATATGATAATGTAAAATGATTTAAAAGGAGAATATAAGGTAACATAATGAGCATATTTGGCAAAACTAGAAAAAATCATTGGTCCAACGGTTTCTTGTAATCCAACCTTCTTGTAAGTCGAGAGTGTGATTTGTTTTATATGATATTATGTACTCAAAAAAACCAACCAGAAGTAACTTTTTAAAATATCAACTTTTATGAGTTATTGAGATTTTAGATACTTTTATGAATGCTCCGCTATCTTCGACATGGGCCCGGTGAAATTCATTCAATTCAGCGTACAACTAAATTAAAAAGTCAATAAAAGTATTGAATGATTTTTTATGCATTCAGTGTATGTTTAAACATTAATTAGTACAAGGACAGACCGCAAAAGCCAAGAATCTTATCGATATAATACTTACTAAGTGTAACTTATCTTAATGGATGAATATAATAAAAACCAAGAATCTTATCGAGGAACATACTCTTATATGGTATACAATTAACTGGTAAACAAAAGTTAAACAACAATCCATTTGATATTCGAGAATGTTACCTCGTAAGGTAATTAAGGGTAGTAATGGAAAATGTCATGTACCATAGGTTCGAATCCAAATGTTGTCAAAGCTGATCTTATGACCATGGAGGTTTTCCTACGATGATTATGACCATTCGTGGTTGTCCAAATGATTGGTCGATATATATAAATTGGTCTAGAAACCTACGATTATGAAATGATGTTCAAAACCACCCCAACCCGCCTCTTGTGGGACCAATGCATAGAAAATGATGGTTCAACCCCACTAGGTATAGTAGGTGAAGTACACAAATCCAACCAACGTAATGATTTTACCCTTTCAACACATCTCTGGAATGGAATCTTCCTACCAAGAAGGTTCCAATTTTTTGAAGGCATGTTGCAACCTACTTTTTTTGGACTACAAAATGATATATATATATATACATATATATATGTACATGTACATATATACATGTGTATGTGCATATATACATATATATTATATTATATACACAGAAGAGCGTGTAAAAAAGAGAATTATGATGAGAAACGTAAGAAGAAATCTAGACCATTAGTCATCTTCAATCTCAAACCCGCTCATGAATCGCGTTTGATATACAGATTGATTTGGTTCATCTCATACCGGTACATCTCATCTTAATGTGTATCTTAATGATGGAAATCATTTCTTACGTTTCTCACCTTAACTCTTCTAACCAAAACCGGGCCCTATATATATATATACACACACACATTACAAAGGTGGTTATGTAATATATTACTTTCATCTTCTAATAGAAACACTACAACAAAATTGATTTTATTGGATGCCTAAATTATACAAGCATCTTACGGAAAGATACTTTATAGCAATTAGAGTTTATAAGATAAAACCAAAAAACTTTATACCTAAACAACAGGTTTACATCACTTTTTGATGTTTTGACAATTTTTTTAAGACACTTTTAAAATATAATACCATATTAGTTATTTTATACAACAATATTTTAATAAACAAAATTATCCTAAAAATAGCTAAGATATAAACCTTTAATAACGTTCTTAAAATAACTATAAGTTTTGAAATTAAAAATTAGCATATTTAAATAATCTAGACCTCACATAAAAACAATTCTATTATAATAAAATATAAAATTCAATATAAACATCATAAACCAACTTAATCTTTCCATATCACAAATTACCTTCATTCATACAAACTAAAGGGAAGAACACACTTTTTTGTGCTTCACGTCCATGCAATCCATTAGGAAAGCTGACTACAAAGAAATCGAATCAAATGAATCCAACCCAACAAAAGACGACTATGCATATATATATATATATATATATAACACCATAAAAACAAACCCAAGAAAACTATATATCAAAATATGTGTGTGCACATACAACACGATACATACTTCTAAGCAGCTGATGGTGCACAGACGGCCGGTATTTTTGGGTCGGAAAGTGCCGACGGAAAAACCATCTGATCACTATTGTTGCTGCTTGCTGTCACATGACGATGACCACCTCCCAGATTATTAGGGTTCTTGTAATCTAAAGACTTATCATTGTAAATATCCCACCATTTCTTCACAAGCATCTTTATGTCTTCCCTCTGCATGTTCTCTTCTTTCCCAGTGTACCGCCATGGCTTCGATCCCGCTGCACAGTAATGAACAACCTTCACTTTCTCGAGATCCACGTTTTCTGGATGGCGCCACAGCATCGCAAGAACGAGATTGTAATCCAGAGGGATTGGTTTGTAAATATCCTTAAAATACATGTTTAGGAAATCCTGCAAACGCACAACCCGAGATTTGTTAGTTAAATCATCATTACCGGTGGCAAATTTGGCCTGGATCGTCGGTGTTACAACAAAATTGGGTTAATAAGACACCACCACCGCTACTAAATAAACGTTCTAATAGAATGCTTGATAAAACTTTAAATATTAATTTGAAGGTTTAAAAAATAAAACGTTAACAAGTTTTTTAGAACACTTTATTAAAGTACTTATTTTATAAGACACTTTTAAGAAAGTTTCCGATAGATAATTTTCTATAAGACACTTTTAAGAAAGTTTCCGATAGACGATTTTTTATAGGACAAAACGTAACCGTTAAAGGGTGTAGGGATGTGGCAGAGTATCATGTCTGTCTAGGGTTTGATCTTAAATGTACGATCACTGAGTTTATCAAAGTTGATTTCTTACAACTTACCGAGATTAGTTTAGACATAATCTAGAACACCCTTAAAAAAGCTAGTACGAGACTATTTTTGTAAAAGTGCCCTAACAACCTTACTAAGGGACCGTTTACCAAACGATTAACAAGGTAAGTGTTTACCGACAAAATTCAACATTATCACTTACTTACCGGATAAAATTTTAATCCATCAAAATGGTATCAAATACAACAATTTACCCGGTAAATGCTAACCAGGGTGAGAGTCATCACTATCACTTACCGAGTAAGACTCTCAATACTTGTCTTTGCTCTTACCGGGTAAACGTTTGATAAACGGTCCATAAGACACCCATAAAAAAGCTAGAATGACGCTACTTTTGTGAAAGTGTCCCAACAACCTTGTTAAGACACCCAAAACCGTTATTTCTATTTATTTGATACAATAAATTATATATCATGACGCTTATTTACGGTGAATACCTGTTCAGCAAAAGGGGTGGGAGGTGTGACCCTGAGGGTTTGTAGCAGATCATGATATATGGTGATATTGGGTTCAAATACAAACATGCCGGCGTTGAAAAAGAGAGATGGTTTTGAACCCATATCGGCCGGCCACCGGACCTTCTCCGGCGACTGCTGGCAATACCCAATCTGGTATTGTGGTGTATGGCTCCACGTCTTCTCGCAGAAACAGTCCATGACGGCGTAAAAATGGCCGTCCGGCAAGTTAAACAGATGGTCAATGTTATCGTACACTTGAATGTCTCCGTCTAAGTATATCATCTTACCGTACTCCACAAACTGCGATAAATTCAATCCACGTGTTACAACACGATGATGCCACGTATGAAATGGTATAGAGACACGTGGAACAAAGAAAGGCCACGTAATCAATTAAAAGAAAAATTAACAAAAACAGCCGTTTCAAAACGTAATAAGCAACATTTATGACATTTTTATTAATTTCCTTATTAAAATCATACCTCCCAGATTCGGAGCTTGGAGTAGTTGATGACGTAATAAGCCATGGCGAACTGCGTCTGACTTTCCGGTGGGTAAACCGGTTCAATTTCTTTAACGATGCATCCCTGAGACTCCAGGATACGGCGGTGCTCCTCCGGAACGTCGGGAAGAACCGCCACAACAAGAGGGTATATGGAGTTAACCTTCCTTAAACCCTTGGCCAATCCCACGACGCCTTTTATATAGTCGCCATTACCAGCCAAGAACGTAACGTAAGCTTTTTTCTTGGAGTTGGAAGGCCGATGGATGTTGACGGCGGCCGGAGCCATTGATTCTTAAAGCAAGTGAGGAATTGATCAAGAAACTCACAGGGACAGTGAATTGCAGGTGGTGGAGGATGGAGGTGGTTGTATGTATATATAGGTGGTGGAAGAAGGTGGTTAGATAGGTGGCAAATTAACTGAGGTTAAATCCTGTCATCGGTTAACACGTGGCAATAGTTGTGATCGGACGGTGAGGAGATGGTTAGCGAGAAACTTCTCGAGAAAGAGAGTATGTGGGAGAAGTAGTGAAATGTAGAGCTGTTTGGAAGAGGCTAGAAGAAGCGTGACTCTACTCCTTTCCTTTGTCAAACATGAAATAGACCCTTTCTATTTATAGCAATTACTGTTAGATATACGTATATATGTATATACACAGGTGGGGACTCGAACAAAAAAATCTTAAAACGTGACCATACTCTAATGATATGTGATAATACATGTTTATAGGATATGGTGTGCAAATGACTTGACCCTCGATCTATGTTGCACCAAAGGTCGTCTGTGGTTCCGATACAGTATTAAGTGAAGAACACCCTTATAACATGTGATAATACACATGATGAGACCTAATAGTGCGCAAGTGACTTGGCCTGCAACCTAGGTCATGCCAAAGGTCTTACGCGTCACCAAATGATCTTAGAGGTCTCATGGAGATAAGGAATTGTCATCGTTTTGGGTTGTGACGTGTTTGTTTAAGACACATAAAAACGTAGTGTTATCTTTTTCGAATTGAATACTGGTGTCGTCAAAGCCTCTTAAAGTCATGAAGGTTAGGTCCGTATCTTTACGGTCTAAAACTCTTAGATAATCAATTTCGTGTGTAATGCAACCTTACAACTTAGGTGGGTGTAACATTACCATCATGGCATCATGTTATGCGACAATGTTAGGTCTTTTTTGTTAAGATGGTACATATGTTTTTGTGTACTATTTAATTACAGACGGCTTTATTTTTGAAAAGAATATATATCAAATCGGATAAAATAAAAGTATTCATGGAAATTTTGTAGCCTGACTTTCATTGATTTCAAGATGTGAAACAGTTGGTTTTAAGGTGGTATATATTATCGTAAGCACAAAACTTTTAACTGATCAACCACCTAGCTAGTGTAATGCATGACGTATATCTGATTTGTCTCTCTTAAAGAGGAACAGTGTGAACCAATTCAAGGATATATATGATTGTCAGTTAAAAACTCTTTTGCACAAACTATATGGAAGTGATTACGTATGTACCTTGATAAATCTTTAGAAAAAATTAAAGCGAAATTGGATGAGGATTTAATCATATACACACACTATATCTTATGTCACATTTTTTTGAATTTATTTAGGTTTTGTTTGAAACACGCTTTTATTTTGAAACTCAATGTCCACAATGAAAATAAAAGAATGTTAGGGGTCGTTTACCAAATACTTACCCAGTAAGTATTTATCAATAAAATTTAACAATTTATCTGGTAAATGCTTACTGTGGTAAGAGTCGTCCTCCTCACTAACTGGGTAAGACTTTTGGTCTTTGTCTCGCTCTTTCCGGGGAAGATCCTTGGTCCTTGCCATATTATCCGGTGAGGTAACATGACTTGGTAAGCGCTTACTCGAGTAAGCATTTGGTAAACGGCCCCTTAGTCTTTATCCTTTCCTAAATAAACATCGATAATAAAAAAGACTAAGGGACCGTATGGTTCACGGAATTCGTAGAAATTTGATGGAATTGGAATGATAAATTTCTTTGACCAAATTCCAATTCTTTTGTTTGGTTCATATTTTGAAATGGATGGAACCATTCCTTAACATAATGGAAGAAATTGAATTCCATCAACACCTACAACGACCATGCTATTACTGTTTGTGATGCCCCACCCCTAACCCCCCACTACCACCACCACACCACTACTGTCACCACCACCCACCCTACCCCACCACTAACCATCATGCCATTACTGTTGTTATCACACCCACCCACCCCGGGCCCCGGTCACTCATTGCACATCCCTGCTACGACCATGCTACTACCGTTACTATCACGCCCCTAACCTAACCCCCACCACCACACCATTATTATCGCTATCACAGCTGCCATTCACCCCCACTCCACCACTAACCATCATGCCACTATTGTCGCCGTTATACCCATCCACTCCTAGCCACCCGACCACCATCCCACCACTGTCATCGTCATAACTGCCACCCATCCCCACTACCCCACCCCTGCCCCTAACCTAACCCCCACCCCTCACCATTATTGTCGCTTTCACAACCGCCACTCACTCGCAACCCACCCGACCCTAACCATAACCCACCACTAAATACCATGCCACTATTGTTGTCATTATACCCACGCACTCCCAGGCCCCAACCACCCGACCACTATCATCGTCACATTTACCACCCCGCCACCTACCCCACCCCCACCTTACTCCAACCTACCACTAACCACCATCCTACCACTATAGTCTTCACCTGCCACCCACTGGCCCATCCCCAATGTCTCACCTCACTCCGCCTACCCCCAACAACCCCACCTATTGTAGGGCAGGGGCATGAGTGGTGGGGCAGGGTTGGGTAGGGGTTGGGGCAGGATGATAGTTGTGATGACGACATTAGTAACATTGTGGTTGGTAGGGTGTGGGTGGGGCGATATGTGGGATGGTCCAAACAAAGACGATTGTTCTAATTCTATTGAGAGATTTCATTCCAATTCCTACCAACCAAATGCATGGTCAAATTCCATCAAATTTCATTCCAATTCCTACCAACCAAATGCATGGTCAAATTCCATCAAATTTCATTCCAATTCCTTCAAAGTCAAATTTCTTTGATGGATTCCAATTCCATCAAATTCCATTATGTGAACCAAACACCCCCTAACAGTTTTAGGAATGCGTAATGTTACATATTTAGTTAACTCAATGACTTTTTTACCCTTAATAACACATAAAGAAATTTTCTCCATCTCATAAGTAAGGATAAAATGAGAAAGTAGGTTCTTACTTTTGACAAATAAAATTTTGAGACACATAAATTATTAACTTTTTTTCCCTTTTTCTGAGTTTGAGGAGATATATATATATATATATATATATATATATATATATATATTCAATCCGTTATACGAGAGTCAACTAATTTCAGGACGATCATCTGTTTTGCGGGTAGTCTGAAATCACCGTATTTGAACATCTATAGCCACAAGAGGATCTTTATCTCTTCTTGGATTTAAACCTGAGATCTTCAGGCACTTTTGACTTTTAAAGCACAAGCTCAAACCAATCAGACACCGCCGTTATGATTGATTCTGATATATTTGAGAGAGGTATTAAGGGTGTGTCAAATGATTGAATCATTGCTACCTAAAAAAAAGCCCCTTCCAACTGCACCCTACAACTTAATGCGAAACCTACCACCTTGTATGAGTCATGGCTAAAAATATATGGTTAGCCTCCGCTACATAATATTGACATGTGTATCACTACAATCTTGAAGGCTTTTACCGACACACTGTTCCGTCGTTAAAAATGATATCTATCAGAAATCCTCGTTGTTGAAAATTTGTCGGTCAAAACTTGGTTGGAGAAGATATCACCGATGGATATCATATGAGGGTAACATTTACAGACGGATTTCCGACAAATAAACTTTTATAGACAGATTTCCGACACCTCTCCGACAATGGCTATTGTGTCTTTTTTAACTGGCGTATTACTTACAAACATGTATTGGCTAACCGTCAATATATTTGATTTTTTGAAGTGATTTAAAATGCTTATGTTTTTATATATAAATCATGCATAACCTGTATATAATATATTAAATGAACGAAATAAAATTTTGTTTAATTAAAAATTAACGTCTTATTGTTAAACATGTCTTTACAGTTATTTTCACATGTATAAAATCATTTTTGTGACGTATTACCAATAGTTCTTTTCGTCACTACTTTTTGAAATTCCGTTGGTAATATTTGCCTGCAGAATTTACCAAGTCATTACCTTCCATCAAATTTGTCACTAATGGTTTTCATCGACGGATTTTTCCGTCGGTGATAACCTGCTATTTTGTAGTGAGATAACGGGTGATGATGACAATTGATGATATGCGTTATAGTTCACTAGAAGGGTACTTGCGCAATGCAGCGAAATAGATCTCAATTTTAATGTTCTATTTTATTATTTGTCTCTGTTGATGTTATAATACGTTTTTATGTGTTTTTAAGACAACAATAATGATTTTATTTTTGAATAAAATATAAATTTGAAGATATCACAAAATTTTGAAAAAAAATATATTAATGATGATATGAAATCAACTATTTAAAAATTCTTATTTTTTATGTAATTTAATTTAAGTTTAATAATGAAATAACTTATTTTTGGTTTTATAATTTAACATTTTATAAGGATAATAATTAAGTATTCTATTAGAACTCAATGATTATCCTGATTATATTTTAGATTTTTTATATTTAAAATGAAATGTTTATCATGTATTTGATTATGTTTATCTACAGTTAGCTACACGAATTCAGATATGGAGCTTTAATAAGTTGTACTTACACATAATCTACTTGTAATCTTGAGATTTAAGTAACATAAATTAATAAATAGTACTTTATGCATAAAAATTAGTTTTTAAAAGTGTTTGTCAAATGCTTTATAATATATTATATAGTATAAATATGATTTATTTAGGTTTCGTTTGAAACACTTGGGCTTCTATGGGTTTGTTTATTCTTTATTAGGCCTAAAGTTAATTAATGGGCTGTACTCCGATAATTTTATACTTTTTGGGTCTAATGGTTAACGGGTCGAAAGGGATCCCACAAGGCCCATATTTGTTTGAAATCAACTCGACTATAATATCAGATTTTTCTGTAACGATTATGATAAAATTGTTCCGTGTTAAATTTAGAGAATTATAACCGCTCTTATATTAAATGTGAGAATAACTCTCTGTTAAATGAAAATGTTTACTAGAGTAAGTAGTGAACGGATAACTGCACATCAAAGTAATTGTTTATCATGGATCAGAAGACAACTCATAATACACTTTAGAAGTTTTTGAGTATAAGATTCGTAAGTTTCTGAAGACTTATGAATAACTAAATCAAGAAGGCTTATTACCTTATGAATTTTCACTTAAAATATTCAAAAGCTCGACTTTCACTTATACGCCATTGCAGTCGGCTCGCATAGCGGGTTGGATATCCAGGTTAATAAAAAAAGGATGTTGGTCCTTGGGCTCTATTAGGGGCTTGACACCGTCATATGGTGCCATCCAACAATCCTACGTTCTAGTTAGATTGCACTACGATGCATCTCACACGTCCTAGCTCGTCTTATAGGTTAAAAACCACTATGCAATAAGCTTATTATAATGTCAGTTATGTTTTAAGTTTTATCATTTAATAGAAAAAACATAAAAAACCGATGTATTAGAAAATTTATTATTTTCTAAACAAAAAACTTACATGTTAATTGCAAAAAAGGTGAGACGACGAATAACTGGTCGAATATATGCTACAAAACACTGAATCGTACACAAAGCTTACAGAACCTTTTCTACATACGACAAATTCATCGGCAAAAAATCATTTTGATAGATGATGATTTGATTGATTATACATGTTTTTTTTTTTTAATTTGATTTTGCTCTATTTTTACCTATTTATATATATATTTATGAGATATGCAACATTATATCAACACAGAGTTGAATGACACTTAAAAAGATCGATTCTTTGGTCTCCTAAACGTAGGGAATATGCAGCTTTCTTGTATTCGTTCCAAGTAAACGACTTATAAAGTCTTAGGTTCCCTGGGGAGATCATTTGTGGGATCGGAGATATCCATTCGTTCAAAGCTGGTGCAGCAAAATACATCATTGACGTTCTGGACTTGGTCGAAGTGTTTGCCATTACTCTATGTCTTACGCTTTTAAATCTTCCATTTGTCAAAACCTGCATTAACATAACTTATTTAATTCCCTGGTAACAAGAACTTCAATTAATTAATAAAGATTTTGTTTTGGTCATTTAAATTTTCAAACCATACCTCTAATGCATCGCCAACGAACACACAGAACTCGGTAGGTTGGGTAGTGACAGGTATCCATAGTCCATCAACAGTAGAAATTTGGAGGCCAGGAACGTCGTTAGATCTCAAGATGGTAAAAATCTGAGGGTCGGAATGCTCTCCGAAACCAATACGATGAGTGGGCTTCAGTTGATTAGATTGGCCTTTGACAGAAGGGTAGTGATTGACTCGGAAGCAAGAATCGCTATCAGTATCTTCGATAAAACGACTAAAGACATGAGTGTCAGGTAATGAAAGGCCAAGTGCCAACATTTCCAACAACCCACATGTCAACTCCTTAACGACATGGATGTAATCATTCACAGCACAACTGCATGTACAAAAATAAAACCATAATTAAATTTCAATTGTAAAATATCTACAAAGATACATAACCGTAGCACACAACGAAACAAAACAGTAGTATCCTTAAAGACTGTAGAAAATTTTTCACTACATCTAGAAAAGTGTTTGTGCAACCTCTTAAATTCAATATTGAATAGTGGTCAGATCTGTTTACATCTTATCTGCTTTAAACCTTACGTTTAAAAAAACATATACTGAATTTATTTGATATGTAACTGTGTCGGCCGATTTCTTGATTTGGATATGAAAAGCAATGTACTTGTCTCTCTCTATATTTGGGTGGTGACACATGGAGTGTTCCCGATCACCTTTTGAATGGAGATTGGAACCCACCCACCGGCCCTAACTGGTAAATTTTTATAAAAGAATTAGTAGAAAAAGGGATTTATTAATTAAATAATGATATATTTTTGAAAAATAATAATTTTTTATAAAAAAAAAATCAGAAAAACGTCAGGTAGTGTTGCGTGTTTAAGGGACACACGTGAAACTGTGTTGACTTTTGATTCAATGAAAAGGTGTTTTTGACTTTGTAAAGAAAAAGTGATTGGGTCAGCACCTTAAGATTGCGTAAGGCATGATCTCAATACCCATACAATACTCCAGTCGCATCTTTTAACACACAACCTTCATATTTCAATCATTTATTTATACATAAATATATATTTTTTTAATAAATTTTTTCAATAATTCACATATGAAATAAGATGAGGTTCAAATATTAACTACAAAAAATGAAAAATAAATATTTACATGTACATACAAATAATTTGTAAGTAATTTTTCTAGCATGCATACGTATATAGATATCAAGAAATATTTTCAATTACTTGTATGCATATGTACATACCATACAGATGAACAATTATTAGAAGTGTTTTTTAATTTTTCATTTTTTTAAGTTTTTGCCTGAACAATATTCTATGTATATATATATATATATATATTATTTAGCACTTTTAAATGAGGGAGTGGTTTCCGGAAAAAGGAATCAAACAAGAAAACACAAAGTGTTTGTTAATGGAGAGAAGCCGGCTAAAAAGCGGAGTGGGCCTCAAGCCGCAAACAAAAAGGACGACCTAATATTAATAATAATGTTTTACTTTCTAGGAGCCAAATCATCGGCCAGCGTGGCGGCCGAACCAAACCCATTAACTTTTAATTTAAATTTAAATTTAAATTTAAATAAAAAATGAAACTGAAACTGAAACGGGGACCCGACCCAAGTACAAGTGAGCAGCACCACATGTGTCGGAAGACATATTTCCCCACAACTCATACATTATATTTATAAATATTCTCGTACTCATTAAAATGTTGGGGATAAATTTGATGACAAAATTCTTGTACTTTACCACAGAATAACTGTTGGGGACATTCATTTAATTCCATAGGACCACTTATATGATATATACAGTTGTTTAAATCATTCAGATTTTTTTTATATGACAACAAGCGTACGTTAAAAAACAACGTCTTGTCTTTGTCCCCGATCGGTTTCTTTTCCGTGGTTGGTGATCGTCACCAAACGGGCTCAAGATTCATATATAACGTGACCATCACTCAAATGATCAAATGCAACATGATAAAATAACGTACCTGAAATTTGTTGGGTGGTCTGTGAAGGAACTGGTGTCAGACCGCTTGGCTTCAAGGAGAAGGTATTCGAGTTCTCCTGTATCGCCATTGAACCCGATGTTACGACAACCATAGCCGAAAGGGGTTGGCGGATTGGCTTTGGCTTTTAGTTTTTCGTTGGCGGGTTTCGAGAAAAACGCGTGAGCCGCTTCTTCCATTCGGGATATGACGTCGATGGGGACTCTGTGATTGACGATCTTGAAGAAACCGTAGTCTTGACAAGCGGCAATCATGTGTTGGGACAAGGTCGTGGGGTCGAGAGAGAGGTCGATGATGGGAATCCCGATGGCTCGGGTCTTTTTGGTCCGTAATGGAGAAGGGGAAGAAACGACCATTTTTCGTGTTCGAAGGTGGAGGTGGAGGTGAAGATGGAGAATGGAAGGTTTATGATGGGATTAAATACTACATGGGAGGGTACCACAGCTATCAATCGGGACCTTTCTTTAATGGAAGATAAAACTATTTGTTTTTAAATAAATTATTTTATTTATTTAATAAAACAATATTAAACTTGAAAGATAAAATAAATGGTATAATTAGCCTTATTATTTTTGTTTAAAAATCATATTTTATTTTTAAATTAAAAGTTTTTAGATTTATGAAATTATTTATTTGTTTATTAATTATTATCATGTGTGTTGATTTTGGCCTATAATAATGGGTTTGAGGGTTGTAGTTTTATCGAATCCCCCGTTGTTCTTCAGACGCTCATTGTTATAATGGGTTGTGTTCTGATGGTTTGTTCGATGTCGAGTTGTTGTTTTTTCGAGTTCGGTTTCGTGTTTTGGTTGGTTTGTTACTGAAAGCTTTCCCCCTTGCATCTTGATTTCTCGTTGCTGTTAATAGTATTTGCTTTTCAAAAAGAAAAAGCATCAATCGAGTTTGGGGTTCAATTTCGAGTATATGTTATCAAGTTTTTTACAGATAGATGGAGAGTTTTGGAACCGCTAGAATAAAATCAGGTTTATAGAACGAAATACTTATACGTACTATCTAAAAAATCATACATGTCTCAGTCATGTCTCACCAATAAAATTAAGACACATTAGATTTTCATTTATTTTAAAATTTATTTAATTTGTGTTTTATTTTATCTCTTTACTTAGTTACATGTATTCATATGATTAATGGACATGAAAATTTGGTACAAGTGATTTTTATCCTTGAAAATGTTGTAATAAGTTTATAGATATTTTTGTGAACTTTTTCAAACACTTCTGAAAAACAAAAGGTTTTATCAATCTTTTTATACAACATTATTTGAAAAAATGTTTTACAAAACATATGTTCTATAAAAAGATACGTTTATATGATACTTTTCAAAAATATTTTATAAAAGGACTGATATGACACTTTGTTGTCGTAAAAAGTTTCCTATAACGCCCACAAACGTCCTATAACTTTATACCAATAATTTTAGATAGAAAATATAAGTATTTGATCCTATAAACCTAAGTCCATAAAATAGTTTACTAAAATATTAAAAAAAAGATATTTTAATATTTTTAATATTTTATAAACTCAATTTTATTATAATAAATATATAAAAATGAACTTTAAAATAAAACTTGTATGATATAACTATAAATTCCAATAGAATTTTTTTAATTAAAAATAAATAAATATTACTTATTTAGGAACAAATCTATATTCTCAAATCTAATTTTATCTTGAATATTATTTATGGCAAAGTCAATATGATTTTTTCTTGAAATAGAAAGTAAATTAATTAAAGAAAAAACCTTAATTCACACCTACCATATTTATATGCATTAATATTTCATTATAGTCAAAATAATTAAATAATTTTCTATGTATTTTTGAAAACGTAACTTTTTTTTATTTTGGAACAGTTGTAGTATGAAAGAAGCGAGTTAGCTTCTTTGACTGTCTTTCTACGTTGAATTGTCTTTTGACAATTGATATGCACATTAACGAAGACTAGACTTACTGATGTCAATTTAATACCTTTTTTTTTCATTCATTTCATTGCATTATTTCCACTACTGACATAAAAGAGGGAAAGGGGTATCATTGTTTGACGCAACACGGAATCACGAAAGAGCTGCAATAACTCAAAAAAGTGAGACCCAACTTTTTAAAATGTCTAGTGACAACAACATTAATGATATCTCTGTCACTGAGATAACATGCATACACCTGTCTTGTATATCTAAAAATTAAACAAAAAATCAATTAAGAGCACGAAACCTACATCGTTTTTGAAACGTCTTCCTCCCTCCACTATTCTATAAGCAAATGTTCAGTACAGTTTCGTTCAAGGACGAGTTTTACACCACTAGATATAAAATATCTACTTGTGAAGAAGATATATATATATATATATATATATATTATGTGTTTGTATATTATAATATATGACTAAAATATGTGCATGCACAATGGTGGCATGGTTGTATTATTTTCTCTAACTAACTCATTTATTGCTTTGAATTAGTTTTCAATTGGAAAAGTAGGTCATTAGACGCCTATGCTTATTCTTTTTTTAGAATTTATTTGAATAATATCAAAAAAAGGGTTTTTTTTAGGTAACCGTGTGTTTTCGAATCAATTTACGTGTACTGACTAATTTTTTAGGTGATCATGACTGGTCTGGAATCGTTATATGTGAACGTCCACGACCACAATAATTTTAGCAGCACTTGGATTCGAACACATAATCGATGAGATTTTGTACTACATTCCTAAGAGTTTGTTTGTTTTTTTTTTGAAAAAAACCACTTAATGCCTCTTAAGTTTGAACCGGTCAGACGTTTTTATTTTCAGACCGTTTGTTTTTTTTATATAAATAAGAGCTGAAAAGCTCTTTTGCTCTGAAAAAAAAGTGATAACATAATCACTTAAATCCTCTTAATCGCTCCCTCCAGACTCTCCCCTCCATCCTCACCTCCAGATTTAGTTCTCCAAATCTATCTTGCAAGACATTCGATCTCCAAATCAATCACGACCAAGATCGATCCACATATTCTCGTAAAATCATGACCCAGATCGATCCAAATCTATCAGATCCAAAACTTGACTGATTCAGATTTCAGATTTCAGACGTAAAAACAAATAGTCTGACTGATTCAGGTTTCAGACTTCAATACCACCTCTTAAAATTCAGAAGTAAAATCAGACTTCAGACTTCAAAACCTCTTAAAAAACAAACGTCACCTAAGTCTTATGGTCATAAACCAGACAGTTGAAAATTTTATTTTCTATGGTTTAAGTTATCATTTTATATTTAATACTTTTATATTGTTTTTGGTTGAATAAAATTATTTCCACGTTTAGACTTTTGACGACTTAATTTCATTGTTAATTCCATTTTTAGCTTGATGTGATATCTTTATGATGTGGAATCTCAGTATTTGACTATTGAAATTATGTATAAAATTACATTTAAAGAATTATGAATTATCCCCACTGGTGAATTTTTAGGAGCCTTTATGCAGAAAGACAAGTTTTTTTTTTCAAACATACTTTCACAATTAATTCACACACGCAATTTTGTTGATACACGACTTAGTGAAAAACCAACCAAACAGTCTCTTAGAGCCTTAGAGGCACTACAACAAAGTGGAGTTATAGAATGTCAAGTATCTTAACTGATTTATGACTTAAATTTATGAGGTTGCATAATCGTGCGTCTTACTGTTTAGTCCTATAAACTTTAATCCTATCAAACTATTAGAAGTTTTAAATATTTTCAACGTCCTATAAATTCAATTTTATTAAAACGAGACCCCGTTCTTATCATACACGCTCCTCCTCAGTGCCTCCATTGAAAACATAAATTTGCATCGAAAAAAACCAATCGTTCTTATGGTAATTTGCTTTCATATAAGTTGTAAACAGATCCGTTTTGCAAGTTCGTTATCTATTCTATCATTGTTCTCATTACTTCTCGTGTGGAACCGAGAAAAGTATACAGAAAAGACGGTTCTTTTCTTATGTATCTATAGGTGCTATGTTTGATTTTGAATCAGATTTCGTCTTAACTGATTTATGACTTATCTTTATTCAATCACCATCTAATACAAAACATTATGTAAACAACAATTATTTTCAATAACCATTTAAGTCAGACTGTTTACACCATTCAACATTTACCCAATTTTTTTTTTAATAAACAACCGTGTTCAGTACGTCATTTGACAACCGTGTTTTAATTTCTCCTTTTTAACATATCGATAGTTGACTTCTTTTCTTATTATTAAAACACACAGATACGTCACACATATATAATAATCAGTATTCAACGTGATCAAAATCGACATGAAATGCATTTTTCTATTTGGTTTTAGGATTTTGGAGGTGGGGAAATGGTTAAGATGTATCCCTTTGCTATTTGCAATATACACAAGAAAGAGTGGATCAAACTTTGTCCGGCTTTAATAAACTCCGTTCATCACAATGTGACATTGTTACGATCTCACTTGTCATAAACAATTTTTTATATTTTACGTATTATTTTAAGATCAATATTTGAATCCTTAAAAGCTTTGACACATGGATTATCGTTTGATAACGTCTTGTGATTGTAACGAGGTTGTTTGCATTAGTTAATATCTAGAGAAATTATTTATTTGTACATCGAGGAGACCAACTAATAAAGATTCGCTTACACCCTGTTATCCTTGAATAAGAGCTTGTTTGGTTGGTTTTCCATTAAGTCATGTATGGATAAAGTTATGTGTGTGGGTTAATCTGTTTATATACATTCAAATAATTTTGTTTGGAAATTTTTTTTCATAGATAGAAGAAACGCGTTTTTAACTGGAGGGCACATGAAACTCTTTATTAGAAGTTTACTGAATAAACCACTTTATATATCATCAAGTAATTACCAAACAATCATGTATAATATAGTTGACAAAAATAAGTTATGAGTCTTGTTAAACTCATTAAGCTGCTAACAAAAACACCCTTAAATTTCGTTTGAAAGGTTCAAAGACCAAATATTACAAAAGAAAAAATTGATTATAATCATCCATGTTGAAAAAAAAGTAAGAAATAATTAAAAAAAACCAATTATAATATATATATATATATATATATATATATATATATATTAGAAATCGTGCATAAAATAAAAGAGATATAGATTAAAACTTGAGAAAATCAAGAAGATGGCTTCAAAGGTTAAAATGGAGAATGTAAACTTATGCAGTGGAATGAGTATGCAAGAGTTTACTTGTTAGTGTGTATCTAAAAACTTTCTTTACATATATACATACATATATATATATATATATATACACATGCATATGCATATGCAAATGATTGTGTGTGAAAAAAAGAGTTAAGGTGAGAAGTATAAGAAGAAATCTGAATATTTAATCACCTTTAATCTCAAACTCACTCGTAAATAGCGTGTATACATGCGAAACAAATATATATGTTAATTAATACCTTATATTTTAGCCTTAGTTTATGTGAAATAACACATGAGACACTCAAGGTTTTCACAATTTCATGAATTTTCAAATGATTACCCCTCCCCCCCCCCCTCCACACACACAAATATATATATATATATATATATATATATATATATATAAGAACGATCAAACGAGAAACCTAATTATTTAAGAGAACATGAAAAACGGTAAAATCACATGTGATTTTACATTAATAGTAAATAAAAGTGTGCGGGCGACTTTGACTGCGTCTTCAGGTCATGGGACAAAGTTACATGAATCACGTGTTACGTGTAAATTTCTACGTGATGTTAATGTAATTGACATGTGATTCGACAATTTTCCTATTTTCTTAACTAAGTATCGTTCTCGTTTTGAATTCGTCTTTCATATTATATGTGTGTTTTATTTATAATAGAAATGGAAAAAGACATAGACAAAGGCGGAATGAGAGGACATGTAAAAACATATATTAATGGACAAATGGCAAGAGCATAATATATATATATATATATATATATATATATATATATGTTAGACAAAGTAATTAACACCTAATCTTTTGTTGGATAATAATCCTTTTTTGAGATTAATTTTTAATAGGTTTGGTGTGTGTGTGTGTGTATATATTTATTAATTAATATCTTATTGGTCTTTTTTTTCTCTTTTTTTTCTTTCTGGCACATTGGTGTATATCATATATATTAGTATTGGTATTGGTATTGGTATTGGTCAACCTTCAATCATTTTCACCTAAACTCAGATATTCAAAGGTGACACCCAAACAGGTTTTGACAAATTTGACCTTAACTTAATACAATTTTCTTTATTTTAAAACTAGAAAAGTTCTCGCATAATATAATAAGATAAATCTTCATTTTAATGTTTAATTTTTATTTTATGTGATTTTGAGAAAACGATAATGTTTTTATTTTTGAATGAACTATAAATTTGAAAGTAGCATCAAAATTTGAAAAAAATAAATCGATAGTAGTATCTAATTAACTATTTAATAGTTCTTGTTTTTTAGTGTAACATCTTTAATTTAACTTTTTATTATAATTTAATTTAGATTTAATAATAAAGTAATTTATTTTTGATTTTATAATATAATTTTTATAAATATAATAATTAAACATTTTGTTAGAACTTAATGATTATCTTAATTATATTTTAGATTGGGAAAATTGCACCAAAATGGAACCAACTTTCACTTGATTCCTATTTTGGGGAACGAACTTTCAAAATCGTCATTTTGGGGAACCAACTTTTACCTGATTCCTATTTTGGGGAACCAACTTTCAAAATCGTCATTTTGGGGAACCAACTTGCACCTAATTCCTATTTTGGAGAACCAACTTGAAAAATAATTATAGAAAAATGGGAAAATTACACCAAAATGGAACCAACTTTCACCTTATTCCTATTTTGGGGAACCAACTTTTAAAATCGTCATTTAGGGGTCTCTATCGAACTTTTTGTTTATTTAAGGGTCTGATTGATCTGTTGAACATGTAACAGATAATTTAAGTGTTTCTATCAAACTTTTGGTTGGATTTGCCAAATTTGATTTAAACTTTAATATTGACACAGATTGGTTAGATATAAAAATCTTGAATGTGATATTTAATATTTATTTTTTATTGCATCAATTAATTTTTTTCTATTAAATTAATTTTTTTATTGCATTAGAAAAAAACAATTTTTATCGTGGTAATTTGGATTTTTTTCGAAAAATCTTCAATTTGATATATGAATTTAAAAAAACGAGATTTGAAATGAAAAATAGATTTTATTGCATTAACTTTTGAAAAGAAATGAATTTTAGTTTTTTTCTATAATTATTTTGCAAGTTGGTTTCTCAAAATAGGAATCAAATGCAAGTTGGTTCCCAAAATGACGATTTTGAAAGTTGGTTCCCCAAAATAGGAATCATGTCCAGGTTGGTTCCCCAAAATGACGATTTTGAAAGTTGGTTCCCCAAAATAAGAATCAGGTGAAAGTTGGTTTCCAAAAATGACGATTTTGAAAGTTGGTTCCCCAAAATAAGAATCAGGTGAAAGTTGGTTCCCCAAAATAAATATCAAGTGAAAGTTGGTTCCCCAAAATGACAATTTTGAAAGTTGGTTCCCCAAAATAGAAATCATGTGAAAGTTGGTTCCATTTTGGTGCAATTTTTCCTTTTAGATTTTATGCTTAAAATAGATGTTTATCTACATTTAGTTACACAAATTTAAAAATGAAGTTTAATAGATTGTACTTATGCAAAATTACTTATAATCTCGAATTTTAAGAAATATGCATCAATAAATAGTATTTCATGCATAGAAAATGGTTTTTAAAAGTTTTTGTTAAATGTTTTATAATATAGTATAGATAAGTGTCCATTCTTGAAATTGTACACGGATTTAAACATTCATATTTCTTATACTTTTTGGTTTATCAAATGACATATTTACCTTTATTTAATTTCTCTTCTCACAACTCCTAAATATTTGTAAATTAATTATGAATAAATATAAAAAAATTATTTTGGGAGAGAGGGATTAAATTAAATTAAATTAAATTGAATTAATTTTAAAAGTAAAATGATTTCATCATAGGAATTAAAGAAGAGGAATGGGATACATGCCGTCTTATTAATTAATCATTAAATGCGGGGGGAAGAGAATAAATGTCGTGGAAGGAAGGTTTCGGCGGGATTGAGGAATGTCGCAACGGCCGGCGTATTATTTTATTCAATCGAATAATAGGAGAGCGACACGTGTATCATTCAAACCACAACGATGGAAATCATATGCCACCATTCCACTAGCTGACGAGTTTCAAAAAAACCTAATAATGTTATTCATATATTCCAAAAAATGTATTATAAAATAAATAAATAAAATAGGAATTAATAATTGTTTTGCTTGTTGGGTTATTTGGGTATGGGCTCAGCCTTTATTTGCAATTGCAGACTTATTTTTATATAAATTTTTACTCAAAAATTTAAAATGTGAATGGGCTATCATTCTTGCAGACCTACTCTGCATAGGTCTGAAAAAATAATGATCCATTCACATTTTAAATTTTTGAGTAAAAGTTTATATAAAAAAGTTTGTATGATTTATAACAACATATTTAACAGGTACAAGTTTGTTTTTAAAGATTTCTTGATTTAGGTTTGAATCAATGATAAAATGTCCAACATGCCCTTATGTAAGAGCACGTGCGGCACTTAGCGTTTTCTTTTAACGAACTTAGGGCAAGAGACGACGACGCATGTAAGTAAATGAAAACCTTCCAATGTCCTTGTAAACTAGATTTATCGGTTTTTGTAATTGACGAAGAATACAAACAATAAATTTGTGCAAATTTATCGTCTTCTGTTTTGGTCAATGCAAATGTAGATGTAGATGCAGTCAACAGCGGTCTCGTCCCTTGGTCGAACTAGAAGCAGATGCAGTCACATCTCTCCCCTCCCGCCACCGCCATCTTTTCTTTCCATTTTCATCTTCCATTTTCGAGCGATAAAGAGAAACACAAGTACTAATGGCTTATATCCATTTGAAATCATCTAGTTTTCTGGATTCTAGAAGTACTAATAGTTTTCATTATTCTAATGTGAGGAAATCTGGATCAAGCAATTTCATCCATGAAAAGACTAGAAAATGATGATTAAAAATTCTCAGTTACTTTGTATGGTTTGTAAAATCACAACCATGTCGAGTTAGCTCCACTTGCAATAAGGTTTGGACCTTTGAGAATCCTCCTCAGAGGTCACCAGTTTGAGTCCTGCAAGGGATTTTCCTGGCTATTCTCCAGATCCCTTGAGATTAGTCAAGGTGCACACAAGCTGATCCAGATACTCATGGTAAAAAGGGGGGGGGGGGATCATACAATTTGTAAACATATAAGTAGAGGCATGAAATTGGTCACATAAACAATATCTATTAATCTATAGAGTACAGCTTACCAAATGTGCAAATCACACAGGAAATAAATATACCTACATACAAATTGAATTCAAATTACAGACATACATACATATTGGCATGAAGTTGTCTAAATCAAACAGGGAAATTTATATGTTTGCCTAATTATTTTAGTTTGAATTCCACCAGGGTCACAACCACATATCTAAAAACCAAAAGATTCAGCCTTCAAGATATCATCTGCAGTAGGCAACAGCAAGAACATATCAAGAAAAAACTTATCAAATTGAAATGGCTTCATATTATGATTTACTAATGTTACACGAGAGGCCATTCTACGAATCTTTCTGCAAATGATGTTTGCAATTTATGTTACACATGATAATCTTCACGAGTGTGAGAGAGCAGATTCATGTTTTTGACTCGATTCAAAGTTCAAAAATAGTATACTCGTTTGAAGCCAACGGTCCTCATTAAAGCTGTTTTATGCAAAGCATCCCGAATTGAGGAAAGAGATATGGGATCTTCTAAATCTTCAGAAACAGATACCCTTTCATTTTAAGCGATTAAACTTTGTAACGAGTATTTTACCATTTGAGAAATATAAGTTCGTAACAATTCTATAGAGTGTAAATCTTGCGGTATGGTGAAATGGGTTGATTTATTTATAGACATACAATATATGTTTGTCATCAAATTTGCATCAATTCCCCCCAACAAGTTTAATACTTTGTTGCTTATTTGTGGCCAATCTTTGTGCTTCTACTTACGGTTCTCTTTCTTTTCGCAAGCTTATGGAAACAACCTTGTCATGTGGGACTGAGGTAAGGTCTGAGTCATCTTACCCGAGATCCTACTAGGGGGCTGTTTGGTTGGTTTTCCATTAAGTCCCGTATGGACAAAGTTGTCTATCTGGATTAATCTGTCTGTATAGATTGTGAAGGTTTTTGTTCGGGAGGGTTTTTTCATAGATGGAACGAGCGTGCTTTTAATTAGGAGTGGTAAGTTCGGAAAAAACTTGGCTTTCTACATTAAGCTTCCCCCAGAAGAATAAGCCACTTTCTATATCATTAAGCCACTACCAAAGAGTCGTGTATAGTTGACTGAATAAGTTGCAAGTCTCATTAAGCTCATTAATCTGCTAAAAAACATGCCCTAGGTCTGTTTTGTTTTGTTTGGTTTGGTTTATTGCCTTATTGGTAGTGCATGCATAATAAGCTTCAGAAATCAAGCAACCATTGTTAATAATCTATACCAGAAATCAAGGCTCAAAATAAGACAATCTTCTGTATGTGGTCAGATTTACACAGATTGTGAAACACAGTCAAGAGAAATACAACAATCATGAAAGAGCATGTATAGGTAATAGGACTATCATCTATTCACAAATGAATCCAAAAGAATGCTATACTTTTAGAATCAAGATAGACATACCTTGTGCGAATAAGGCTTCATATGCCATACATTGGACTACACAAAGATACTCAAAAGTCCACTGTTTTTCAAGTTTCTTTAGCTGTTCCTCCTCTCAAGACCAATCTACCCTGTGAATATGACATTCACAATGTCCGGAAACTTCTCCTTGATTGCTGCTTTGACTCCCGATCCAATAGACTCAGGCCCAGTATACTTCACAACGCATTCCCCACCTTCCACAGATAATACTTCCACACTTCCCCCAAAGTTGGCTATGGCTGGCCTCAATATTTCAAGATGCCCATTTACTGCCTGCAATTGCAAGATATAAGTTACAACACAATATTCATATAAATTGTTCTTAAGATCGATTCTTTAATCATAAACAAACAAAAAGCTTGCCTCAACAGTTGTTTCAGCAGGTTGTTCATCATAAACTTGAACAATATCCTTGACAGCATCTCCAAATTTTTCTTTGAGGACTCTCTCGATCCCCATCTTCATGGTGGTCGTTGAGCTCGGACAATTCCCACATGCCCCTGATTCATATGTTCCTCTTCAATTGCTACATGTTCTTCATTTTGATATCAAAATCCAATGTAGAAAAAATCGTAACTATATTTAACTCGATTACAATAGAAAGATCATTTGTATAAAGTTGTGTGTATGGATTAATCTATCTGTATAAATTGAGAAGGTTTTTGTTTGGGAGGGTTTTTTCATAAATGGAAGGGGCGTGTTTTTTAACTAGGAGGGATAGGTTTGGAAAAAAACTTGGCTTTCTACATAAACTTCCATTTGAAGCTTACTGAATAAGTCACTTTCTATTTTATTAACCCACTCCCAATCAGTCATGTATAGCTCACTGAATAATCTGTGAGTCTCGTTAAACTCATTAAGCTACTAACAAACAGCTTTTAGCATACAGCTTCCCACTACAAGCTTGCTGAATAAGCGACTTTATATATCACAAAGCCACTAACAAACAGTTATTTAGAGCTGATCGAATAAGTTGTGAGTCTCATTAAACTACTAACAAACAAGCCCTTACTCTGTTAGGGTTCGATAGATCCTCTAATCAAATACTTGCATAAGAAATTGCTGAACAAATTAGATGATATGTGAGTCCGATTGTTTAACCTAGGAAATCGATTGAAACATTAGAAAGAAAAACCCCCAAAAACGAACCTTGTAGCTTGAGAGAAACGACGCCATCTTCAACCGATACAACGTCAACGTTTCCGCCATCGGCAATGAGGTATGGCCTCACGTCATCGAGAACGGTATCAACGTTTTGGGGAGTGAGTTCGAATTGCTGGGCGGAGTATAGTCCACCACCGGCCATGGCGTTTATGGTGGTAATACACCTTCGATTTTGAGGAACCACCCATCTTATTCTGTTTGTGATTACGATGGATACGGGTGAGCGAGTAACTTGGGTGATGGCCTTTGTGGAGGATAACTGTTGGAATTGAGGTTGAGACATCAGAATCGGGGTTGCGAGCGCCATGGTTGGAACTTGGAGGTGGCGAACGACCTCCGCCACACCAATGTCACCGGTTTTTAAAGAAAAAGGTTTTTAGAGTAAATTACGTTTTTTGTCCCTTTGGTTTGTTTAAATGTGTGATTTGTGTCCCTATGTTTTATAAATTGCTTTTTTATCCTTATGGTTTGTAATTCATTGTTATTTTCATCCTTATGATTTACAATTTATTGTTTTTGGTCCTTATGGTTTACAATTCTTTGATGTTTTGCTCCTTTATATTTTAATGATAGGAATTAATATACAAACAAAAATAGCAATAAATTGGTAAATTATATGAACAAAAGTCATAATTTCTAAACTGTTATGACAAAAATAGAATCTTTAACAAACCACATGGGACAAAAATTGTAATTTACTCAAAAGTTTAAGGGACGAAATCATAATTTACTCAAAAGTTTAAGGGGCGAAATCGTAATTAAAAATACACATTTCACAATTATGGACTAAATTACGTTTTCAATCCATGTGGTTTCATGAAAATTACGATTTTAGTTCTTAGTCTTCATTAGTTACTATTATAGTCGCTATGGTTTGACACTCGTTACGGTTTTCGTCCTTGCTGTTAGGGGTGTCAAAAGAGACTGAGTTGTTTGTTTACCTCTTAATAGTCCTATCAAGAGGCAGGGGCTATTTGTTTCCCTCTTTCGGTAAGAGGCAGGAGCTGTTTGGCAAAAAAAATAGCCTCTTAATGGTGACAATATCCTCTTAACGGTTTTGTGTTTAGGTGCTCCTAAATGGTTCAGATGTAAGTTGTTCCATTTTTACCCTCTCACTTCTCCAACTGGCTACTCATCCCACGCTCCTTCAATTCCTCCTCCCACTCGATCTCGTCGCTCTCCCCGTCAGTCTCATCCCATTTACAGACTCATTTCCCTCCTCCCCCATCTTCTACCTTCTCACCATCTTTCCTCTCCTCCTCTCATTTGCCTTCACCATCGTCGTCGCCACCTTCTTCTTCACTTGGCTGGCCACTTTCAAGCTTCCCTTCCCGTCAAAATTAAACCCCAATTTTTCAACCCTAAAACGAAATCGAGTGTATATCTGTGGATTGAATCGATGTTTTTCCCCTTACTGATCAATTTTGCGTATAATTACAAACACGTATTGAATCCTCACTTTTTGTTAATCGTTCATTGTTTTATAATGTTTATTCTGATTGATCTTCTGGTTTTCGTTTTGAACGCCGTCGTCGGAGCGGTGACCGGAGTCGAGCTTGAGCCGCCTTCGGACGAGTCGTATCTGTCGACCTCCTTACAAGACTTCTGGGGTCGTCGATGGAACCTCATGGTAACAAATAGCCTGCGACATACAGTATACAAACCCACATGGGAGATGGCGTGGAGCTAAAGGGGAAGAGAGCAATGGCCGAAAAATTTGAATTGCCGACGGCGGTTGCAAGGTTTTTTGGCGGTGGGGTTAAAATGGTAATTTGTTGTCATTCAGAGAACAATTACCAAACAATCTTGTTTCATTTAGCACTTAACCATTCTAACCCTCTTAACCATTCTGACTACTTAATTATTTTGCACTAAATCATTCAGCAACTGCCAAACAGCCCCGCAGTCTCTAAATCGTTAAGAGGTAAATTTTGTTTGGCAAAAAAAAAGTTTGCCTCCTAATGGTTCTAAAACCCTCTGAATGATTTTGTATCTTAGGCCTCCCTTAACCATTTAGTGCCCGGATTTCATTATAAACAATTACCAAACAATTATATTTCATTTTGCACTATATCATGATAGTCTCTTAATCCTTTTGCACTAAATCATTCAGCAAGTGCCAAACAGCCCCTGAAACTGAATAAATCACAAAGTTGGATTAAACAAAATAGGTTGATATATAATTACATTTTATTATAAACTTTGTTTAAATTCAAACAATATTTTATATTTATGACTCATTTTTAACTATTTTCGTTTTTCTTAGCTTATCCAGAAAGTTGTAACAAAATTAGTAACCAAAATTTTAGAAAGAAAACAAACAAACCTTATTAATATAAAACTTTTGTTTGGTTTATCAGATGACCGAACTGAAAAATCCAAAACCAATTAAACCAACCTTATTTTGTTTGGTTATTGATTAGTTTAAAAAAATTGAAAACCAAATAAACCAAATGTTTAACGAATCGTTCAACAAACCCTTCACGAACTTGAAGAATTCGAAGCAGCGACAACACAACAAATGGATAGAGACGGTTATCCCCTCTTTATCCATACACCACCATATTGAAACTTGATAGTGAGTTAAGTATCTTGAATGAAGGAAAAGAGAAAACTAAGGTCAATCTCAAGTAATCTAGAGAGTTTCGTCTGTCGGTATGTTCCAAACATGTCGTTTATTGGCATGTTAAATTTTGGGTTTTGAATATGATCTTCAAAATTTTGGGGCAAAAATTTACTTGCGCTAGTGGCTTGAATTTATATGGTCGAGCATAGGAATCACCTAAATGACTCTTTGATATCATTCTCACTTCGTCATTTTAAACATTTTTGTTATTTTAATTTGTAAGATTTTGGATATGATATGAAATTTGTATTTTATTTTGTTTATTACTAATTTCAAAAGATCCATAATTATTGTACATGTGTAACAGGGGCCCCAAAAAGATTGGGACGACCCTGACTCTGAAAAAGCCATTCATGATCAAGAAGGTGAGAATTCTTGGTATTGGAATAGTAGAAAAGGATTCACGATCGTATGCAATATAGGAGGAGAGTTTGTTGTTCAAGCCAATTAACTAGGTCCCTTAGACCAGCAAAACTAGTAGCTTGTTACTAAAGGGCTTTTGGCATAGCGGTATTGTTGTCCTTAGCCTCCTAGAAGGTCAAAGGTTCAAACCTCATCAAAAATGAGAAAAAAAATTAGTAGCTTGTTATTATGTTACTTGATTCCTTTTTCCCCTGAAAACTTTGGCTTCCATGTGGCATCCTTGATTGATAACACAACCTTCTCCTCACTTGCAATCGAAATGATGTAAAACAAGATGTCATCTCTTTTCCATTCTCTTAAAATGGATAAACTTTGCATAAATTTCGGCGGCCGTGTTTTCTTGGGTTTTCTTCTTCGATTTATTGTTGTTACGCTCATCCTCGTGTTTCTAGATTTTTGTATTTCATACTGATCTTGAAATTATTCCAACGTTTAGATCTCGAAAAATTATATTGATTCGAGTTGCGAGTCAAAAGTTTTGGGCTCCAACCACAAGGGTGGTGCCTGATTAGTTTGAGTTTGGCTCTAAAGGTCAAAAGTACCAGGAGATCCTAGGTTCAAATCCAAGGAGGAATAAAAATCTCTTGTGACCACGAAGATTCAAATGCGGTGACTCCGGGCTATCTGCAAAGCAGGTGGTCGTCCTAAGATTTGTCGACTTGTATAGCGGGTTGGATATCCAGGTTAATAAAAAAAAAAGTTTTGGGCTCCCAAAGTATATTACACATATGATTACAAACCAGTTACAGATAAATTGCCAACATAATATAGACATCTGGATCCCAGAGTTACTTTGAATTTTGAATATGATTATGGTTATAATTGTTTCAAACCGTTTCATGATCATATTCATTAACATATTCATAGTAATTTTATGAATGTCATAACTTAGATCGATATTACTTTCTAGTTACTTATTTTTCAAGAACTACATGCAGATAAAATCTAAGGATACATATGTTCAAAGTATGTTCATAACCATCTCGTAATCATATTCCTATTAAACTTCGGGATACCATAAATTTCGACTGGTAACTTAAAATGAAATGATTTTTTAAGTTGTTTATTCTTTTTCAGTAAACTTTGACGATTCAAATGTTCATAATATATTCGTAGTAAACCCCAGGAACCAGTAAACTTTGACTTGTAATTTGAATCAATTTAATATTTTGAATTTGTTATCTTTCAAGATCTAAAAAATGAATTTTTTTTGAACAACACCAAAAACAAAGTTTATTAAACAACCAAAACAAAAACAAGAAGATTGTAAATACTGGAAAATTTAGGAAATACAAATGATATGAAATTTATAGAAGGATGCAGATGAACTCGAAAACAAAAAAATCGAAAAACCACAATTACAGGTCTGCTCAAAATAACAAATTTTAGATAATGTAACACCTCAATATTTAAACATGAAAAAACTCATCATTGCAACAACTTATAACTGTAATTTTGTTGTACTTTTTACGGGTATTTATAATAACTCCGTAACTTCAAATCCAATATTTATACCATGTTTGAGGAACAAGACACAACTAAAGCAACTTGTAACTTCTTCCCATAATACTTTCACTAACTTCCATTTCATAATCACATGATCAAAGATAGAACTACATGGAACCCAACATCTAGGCACTAAACACGAGATTTGATAAGGAAAATAAAAGGTAACACTGATCTCAAATTAAGTCGATGGTGTTTTTTGATCAGACGTATCATCCATTATGCAAAGCCCTTCGGCATACCATGTCCTTTTGCAGTGTTGCATCTTGTACACAAAAGGAAAAACCCAGGCATCCTAACCATAGTCTAAGATAGTAAACGTATTAATTTTATAGTATAAAGATTGTTAACTGGTGCAAAAAGGTGAAAAACATCAACAGTATAACATGAATTCTCAGTACATATTACATGATTAATCAATTTCAAGCATGAATTTTCTTAGTACTTCTAAAATTAAACTTTAAATCATGAATCAATCTCCTTCATACTATTAGAACTTGTTATAATTCTTACAACATAAATGATTGACGGTAAAAATTTAAATTACAGAAAACGTGATGGTTGACTCAGTAGTTTTTTTCCACTAATTGTTGACTTTGAATTATAAAGTGATAACGTTTGAATTGATTTGAACTTACAAAATCACAATGTGTTGCAAAATCTTTAGAAACGAAAATGTTTCATTCTAGAAATGATGGTGATTGCATCACATCATTTCTTATTTCAAGCAAATGGAAATGGGGTTATAAAGCCGTTTAGGGTTTTGGAATGCTTGTCTACAGGAAGGGTAACACTTCTTTACCCAAAGGGTGGTCTCAGGTTGAAGTTAAATCCCAGGAAGAAGGTTTCCACCTTGTCGCCACCGTAACCCGCCGTCCTCCTCCCATTTCCACCACGAAAAAGGTTTCAAAGTTGTGCCGCCACCGTAAACCGTAACAGTTCCGCTTTTGGATTTCGAGCTGAACGACTTCATCGGCGCTTTTTATAGATAGCGAGTGGTGCACCGGCGTTACCACGGGAGGCGTAGAACCTTCCAATTCCGTCGTCACCTTCTACAGATTCCCACAATTCCGTATTTTCGAATCATGGGTTGATGGCAAATGGGTCCGACCCGAAGAACAGGTTTCACTTTACTTATTAAAATCTTCATCGCTACTTGACTTTTATCCCCCTTTTTTATTCTACTACTATTATACACCTTCTCGCTTGTCTCTATCAATTCTAGGGTTTTAAATTTCCTTTCCTTTTAATTTCATAGTTGCAATTTGGGGGTTTTGTGGACGTTTTGTTTTCTAATTTAGCCAGTAATTACATGCATACGATGAACGAAGGGGCATATCTGTGCTGAATTTGTTATAAAAAACTCTGGTCAGCTGTTTCGAAATTATGTTGTCTTCTAATCGGCTTGTCTCAGCCTTCAAACCATGGGTGAGTGATTACCCTAATTGGGTTATTTTCAGAAATTATGCTTCTTCATTGACCCGATTGAAAAATCTTGCTATGCTCTTAACTTCCCCTGATTTTATATTTTCTATGTTCGTTTTCCTTTTTGTGTATGATTTGAATGTGATATCCGTATTAGAATCTTGAAACTTGCAAGTGTCTTTTTATTAGATGGTTAATAGTTTGGTTAGATGGATTGTTCATTCATGGTTTTGATTTTGTTTCTTTATTGGGTTAAATAAAATGGAAGAGAACAAGAAGGTTGATCTTCAGGGGTAAGGACAAAGGTGGAAGTGTCTTTATGAAAAAGAAGGTTACGAATGCTTAGGGATTGATGATGATGATGCAGAGCTTCGTAGAGTTACCATAAATCATCGTTGCATTCGCCCTTTAGGGATACACATTCGTTTGTTGGAAAAGATGGATGCTTTATATGATTTAGGGATACACATTCATTTGTTAGAAAAGATGGATGCTTTTTATGATTTTGGCCTGGTGGAGTGGAATAATTACCAAAAAACCTACTGATAATGTAAGTATGTTGTGTATAATGAAGACACAAATAAGGAGAGAGAACTTGGGGCTGTTTGGTTGGTTTTCCATTAAGTTTGTAAATGAATCAATCTATTTGTATAGATTGGGAAGGTTTTTGTTTGGAGGTTTTTATTTCATAGATGGTAGGAGCGTGCTTTTTAATTGGGAGGGGCAGGTTTAGTTGGCTTTATGCATGAAGCCCGCCGCTAGAAGCTTACTAATAAGTCCCTTTCTATATCATTAAGCCACTACCAAGCAGTGATGTATAGCTGACTGAATAAGTTGAGAGGCTCATTAAGCTGTTAACAACAGACCCTAAAATGTGGACTGGAAAGGCTACAATGGTTCACCCCTTATCAGGAATCCAACATCATTTTCTTGGTGAACCTGGCCATGTGTTATTCATTGCTCCATTCTCACTCTATTCTTCGCCTGCAACACTTATCTACATGACTTGGTTCTGACGTTTTTTTGAATTTTTACGAGCTTCCCAGTTGTGATGGTCTCTATAAACTGCACCAAGTAACAGTGAATACTTTGCATAAGATACTTGTAGTTTTATTGTAGTCTTTATTTTAAGGGGAACTGGGGAAGTGACAATTTCATGCTTTGAACATGATGTCTCAAGTTTTAGTTTTCTTATAGGAACCCGTTTGTAATGATGGCCATAGTGTTGAGAATGCTGTCGAACGCGGTGAATCGAGCTCTTTGAAGTGCATCACTGAAGGGATTGCAACTGTTTCGTTAAACTTTAAGGATTCGGTTGAGGACACAAGTCACACAACTTCTGGCATTGATGAACAAACTTCTATTGTAACATCAATGAAGAGAGCAAAGCTGACTAGTATTGGTAGCAATGATAAGCATCTAAAGCCTTCCAAGAAATCAAAGTCGGGAATTTCTTCTGATGATCCAAGTGTATCAAGTGTGGGGAAAAGTAAAGAAGTAAGCAACCCACCTGCCGGTCAATCTTGGGGCTGCAACTCTCAAGAAGCTAATACCAGTGACCAAACCTTTGATAATATTGAGAATCTTCCTCATGGGAATAAAATGGTGGGTTGAAATTTTCATATATATATGAATAAAGGTTGTATCTAATCAACCACAAACATATACAAATGATTGAGGATTGTTTATCTCACCAAGTATACCGTATTAAATGTTAATTTCTTATTCTGCTGATTATCACAGAAACTGCCTTTTCTACTTGTGCAGCTTGATAAATCAAGAAAAGGTGTCGAATTGAATCGTCCACTAATGAATTCTGCTAGAAAAAACTCAAAATTAACAGTTGGTGTTGGAGACGTGGAAGCCTTAACTCAAGGTGTGTAGTTTTTTCATATATATTTTTTTTTGGAATTTGTATATTGTGAGTTTGATACATTGGACAGGACAGAACATGAATCACTGTTCAATGTTTGGCAGGACTTTTATGTGGAACAGACGGGAACAAAGTCGAACAAACCTATATTTTACCAATATAACTTCAAAAGAAAACCTATTTCTCTTCTAAAACATCAAATTTGCCTCCTTCTTTACCTTTATTCATTCTTTAAATTTTATTTATTGTATTTTATGCTTTTTAAACTTTCACTTTATTGTCCTCAAAATATTATTATTATACAGTTTATATATTTTTGTTAATTTATGTAATTTATTAAATATTATTAATAATAAAATAATATAGAAACTTGGAAACTACATGAACTTTTTGTTTTGATGTCATTTTAATTGCCTTGACGAAAACTTTCTAATGTGATATTTTATTATAAAAATATTTATTTTATTATAATTTAATAATTTACATAAATTAATCAAAATATATAAACAACTCATCAGGGGTAAAATGGTAATTTTATCTGTTTTGTCCTGTCCAGTTCCGTCTTGCCAAACGCTGAACAGCTGTTCTGGCCTGCCTGTTTGGATGTCAAAGGCACCCTTACGGTTTATCTTCTTCACACAAATAGTAAGTTCTTAAGGTTACACATTGGACAGGAGGTACAGGTGATTTAACCAAAGAACCGACCCCGGAATCTGTTGAAAAACAGAATGACATCAAAGACTTGTCTATTCCTGTTGTCATTGGTTTGCAGTGCAAGGCTTTGACATACTCAAGAACAAAGAAGCAGCTAGGTCCACCATTGGCACCCGAAACGACAGGCAATGTGGTGCGGAATCTAGAGTTTGTCCTTCATTCGATAAATTGTTTTTGCTCAAGTTTAATTAGTTTTTAATTTTTATAAACTGGGTGGCGGGTGGGTGGGGCATAATCATACTAAGAGGCCCTGTTTGTTAGCAGCTTAATGAGCTTAAGGGGACTCACAACTTATTTGGTCAGCTATAGATGACTGTTTGGTAGTGGCTTAATAATATAGAAAGTGGCTTATTCAAGTAAGCTTCTTGGGGGAGCTTTTTGCAGAAAGCTAAGTTTTTCCCAGACTTGCCCCTCCCAATTAAAAAATACGCTTCTTCCATCTATGAAAAAACCTCCCAAACAAAATTTTCTTAATCGATACAGACAGATTAATTCACACAAGCAGCTTTTTTCATACATGACTTGATAAAAAATCAACCAAACAGCACCTAAAGCTATAAACCAGTTCTGTATAGAAATCATGATGGTAGCTTGTATGACATTATTTCACAAAAAACCCGTTTTTATGTAGGAGGTGACGGAAGTGGATACTAACTCGATTACCAAAAGGAAAAGGGGAAGGCCGCGCAAATTACCACTCAAAATCCCCGAGACTTCATTGGCTGGTATACTTTTAACAGGGTTGTTGCCTTTGATCTACAAAACATCTATCTTGACGTACGTCTTGACTATAAAAAACGTCATTTGTGATTGTAGTGAATCATCAGAATGGAGATGCCCTTCAAGGTTTAGGTTTCGTAGAAGGTAGCAAAATGAATGCAAGTATCAAGGTTGAATCAGGCAAGGAGAACCCGGAAGTCAATGTAGACAAGCCACTAAATAGAAGTTCCGGGAAAGCGTTAACCGTGCAACATGAGAAGCCGAAAATAGTAAAAGGAAGACGAGGAAAGCGACGCACAATAAGTAGCATAAACATCGAGGCTTCACCACAAGGTGCAACAGTGATTTATTTATCGTTCATAATATTTCCTAGTGTTGTTTTGTTATTTTGTTGATTGTTTTCAACGATAAGTGATGATGATCTTTGTTTTTTGTAGATTGTCAAGATTCATCGAAACAAAAAGCAAATGGAGGGTTGGAGACAGATGGTACGGCAGGAAATTCCGAACCTTCTGTCGAGAAATATTTCGACACAATGTCGGATGATCAACCTCTCTCGAGGTGGTTTGAAGGAATGCACTCTGCAACAACTGTTGACAGCACAGGTAATTAACTGTTTGTTAGCAGCTTAATGAGCTTAATAAGACTTGCAGCTTATTCGGTCAGCTATACATAACTGTTTTGTAGTGGCTTAGTGATATAGAACGTGACTTGTTCAGTAAGCTTCTAGGGGGAGCTTTATGCAGAAAGCCAAGTTTTTTCCATACCTGCCCTTTCCAATTAAAGACACGCTCCTTCCATCTATGAAAATACATTCCCAATTTATATAGATAGATTAAACCACACAGATAACTTTATCCATACAGGACTTGATGGAAAACCAACCAAACATCCCCAAGCTTGTGAAACTAAATACAGTCGGTCTTCAACTTTGTAATGATGGTTAAAATCGATTGCTCTTTGTTTTCAGTTGCTGCCCAACAGAGAAAAGTAGAGCAATCGTCTGATGCAAGTAAGAAACAGTTAGAAAATCTTGAAATCTGTCCGGCTGTGGCGAATGGCGAGATGGTGGCAGATGATGGTGGAAACTTGTCGTTTGTGAAAAGCAGTCCGCTTTGGGAGACATTAGAATCAATGGAAGTGTTCCGGATGATTCCGCAAAATCCACATTTCCGTCTGTTGAACAGTCTGAAGGAGAGTGCTCGTGAAGGACAAGCTATCAGCCAAATGGTGAACTTTTCGAAAGTGGTGGAGAACACATCCCAGTTGCGGTTCGACTGTCCAAGAAACACGATCGAAGAGTGTTTGGAAGTGCTTGTGGAACTAGAAATCCATGGATTTGATGTGAAGCTGATAAGAGATCGTTTAACCGGATTACTTTTGATTAAAGATAAGCAGGAGGAGCTTGAAGCACGATGGAAAGAAGTTGGAGATAAAATAGAGCGAGTAAACGTTGAAGGAGGGAGAGATGACGAAGAGATTGAGCTGCTGGATAAGAAGATCAGGGAGCTGCTGGAAAGACGTTCACAGATTTTGGCGAAGAAGGAGAAGATGGGTTCAGAACAAGGTGGTTTGGAAGTGGAAATTGATGGCATCAAAGAGGGTCTGAATGAAATCAGATACAAATTCGATGGCTTAGCTGCTGCATCCTTGTGTCCTCCATGATCGACTGCAACCGGGTTTAAGACATATTTGGTGTTTTGTTTTGTTGAATATGGTAGCGGTAGACGAGTATCAGTAGGACATTGGAGTTTTCTAGCGTGTGACGCTTTTTTCTTTGTTGGTTATGGTACATACATAATCTAGACTTAATTGCAGGCTTCAAAATTGGAGCTAAAACCAAACGTTTTGTTGGTGATTTTGGTGTCATCGCAATTGAGATTTACATCAGACTGAACGGGTTTCGGTTAAACTATAATACAAGTTGGAAGGTGTGAAGAGATGTTTGTATAAGTTAACTTGAACCCGGGATCATTGAGGGTCGTCGTATGGTCAGGGTCAAGGAGGCTGTGCCCCCTGTGGTGGTCGTGTTGACGGATCATCGGGCGGGGTCAGAGGGCAATGTCGTAAAATCTAAAAGAGTGTGTGTATGGTGTGGAATTGGCATGTTTTTGTTATGTTTATGCTCTCCGCACGTTGATTTAACAAAAAACGTAAAGGCAGAGTGATTGGTCTTTCACTAAATTGCCCACCACACCATGTGTCACCAACCAACATTTTTTCGATGTTTGGGTCTTTGCGAGTTGCGACTTCTCCATAGACCGTTTCTGAGGTCTCATGGAATTATTCTGGGATTTTCCTTTGACTGTTTTTTAAGGCCCATCAGTTCGAGTCTTTCCAAGGTTATTGGGATTTTTCTGACTATTTTTTTAAGGTCTCATAGGATTAGTCGAGGCGTTCCTAACCTGTTGCAGACACCTAGGTTTTCTTTACGCTAATAATTAAAGAGGTTGCTTCCGTGAATATCATTGGCTTGCAAAAAGTGGTAGACTGTCATGGGAGAAACAAAAGTTTGAAAAAAAAACTCTGAGAGACTAACCTGTTTTTGTTGGACCCGTGAGATAGAGGAAATAGTTGGTAGCAAAAGACTGTATGCAAACATGCATTAAAGACGATAAACAGTAAAACCAACACAGACAAATGTATACGCTATTATATTGTTTAAAACGAAATACAGAAATCTGTCTAGACAAGATCCCCTCCCTCTGGCATAAATTGATCCATTACTCTAGGGTTGGGTTCTCGTGAGACCAACCTGTTTTCATTCGACCCATGAGATTAGCTGTTAAGACACAAAACCACACTGAACCTTCACAACAACAACATCGTTAAGGTACAAAAACAAATCTTTTTCGTTGTGAAAGCTTAGTGTTATTTTTGTACCTTCACAGTGTTTTGTTACGAAAGTTCACATATTTTTATAAATATCTCAATTAACTGAATTTGGAGACAAAAAGGTGAAGCAGAATTGTAGGCATTTAATCAAATGATAATGTGGGGGTTGATAATGAGCAGTGCATTATAAATATGGCATTTAACACCATGTGTCTTGGTTGCCATCTCTCATGAGTCATGAGCTGAGCTCCTGTTGCAAAATGATAACCAAAATCAACTACAACTACAACTACCAACCCATTTATTGCTTCCACCCCTTTAATGTCTCCCCTTCTTTTACAAACACAATTTGCAGTTAAAGGTTCAAATTCTCTTCATATAAATCCTTTTGTGAAAAATAAATCAAAATGGCTAACAAGTCACATGCAACTTAACACAGCTCACATGTTTCTGTTGTCAGGTTGAAATGTGTGAAGTCAGATTAAAAAATGTTGGATCTTTTTGAAATGTTGTTGACGTGTTCAGTCGAGTACATTTATTTGAAAATGTTGGATGTTTTTCCGTTTCCATGAATATATATATATATATATATATAGGGGAGCGATCAAATGCAAACCACTCAATTTGTACAAACCGTGCAAACCGCATTCAACCAATCATAATTTTTCATTTTGTTCATTTTTTTGTAATTATGAGAGGTTGATTAATCATTTTTATTGTGGAGGGTGTTAATCATAGATATTATCATCTTCATAATTTTAATTTTAGAGAAATACATGAAACAGTTTCATTAATGTTAGAGAAATACATGAAACAGTTTCATTAAGTATTATATGAAACAATTTCACAACCATATATGAAACAACTTCATCAAAAAAAGTATTATATGAAACAATTTCACAAGATTAAACAATTTCATGAAAAAATTTCATAAGATTAAACAATGAAATCGACAGATGAAGGTGGTTTGTACGGTTTACTCAAATGAGGGCGGTTTTGATCACTCCTATATATATATATATTTATTTATATATAGCAGAAACGATAGCAGTATCAAAATCAGTGAAATTCTTGAAGGTACCAAACTTGGACGGTGACATACAAAATATTATGTCATGCATTATTTCTTAGCTTTGGGAAATCATATTAAAAAAAGTAAAGCTTTTGTTAGTTCGGAGTCAATTCTCCGTTTCATTGCTAGTTGGTCGAAAAATATAAATTTTTATCAAAAACTGAATAAGTAAAATAGTAAACAGGGTTTCCATCAAACCACGATCATGGTTTTTGGAAACGAGAATAATATATATAGTTGCTTAAAGTGAGTTATTTTTCTCTTTTCAACAACAACGTGCATAACAAACCAATGAATTTTGAGAGATCCCTTTGAAAAGGAGTTGTAATTTGATTTTTTAGCTTGCAATGAAAATATTATAAAAAGGTCGTATTATTCAAACTCTTTTTTGAATTCTGATTTTTTTTTTCTACAAATATCTTTTGATTTTGTTCTATAAAATACGTCACACGTCTATTTTTTATGTTTCGAATACCAAACTAATCCCTCAAATTAACAACGTCAGTAGGTTATCAAGATCCGTTTACAAATAAATGATGGATTATACTTCTTCTTGAAAGTCACACATGGGTGATGGTGAGTTGACAAGAGTGGTACCAAGATTTCTTTACAACACCCATAATTTATTATATGTACAATTTTTCAATGTTTGGAATCCATCAAACCCCATTTGAATGGCAGATATTTTTTTTATCAAATATATTGATTTAAGTTTCCAATAATTCCACAAATAATACAAGGTTATAACTGTGAAATGCTTTTCCACCAACCCAAACAAGTAAACTTAAACTCAATTTAGGTTGGAGTACAATCCTATAATACCAACATCCATTAATGCCCATTTAAGAAATACACCTAACACTTTTCCTATTATCATCATACAACGACTACTCGATCGTCCACCATCATCTTGTTTCCTCCTTTTTATTTTAACTTGCGGTTTCTTGGCAGAAATTTGGACCAACAAAGTAGGTTCCAAATCTTGTGCAAATGCTTTAATTTTCTTGAACCATAAATTTTAAACCTCCAAGTACCTTTTCTTTCTTTAAATTGAAGATTTCCTCCAAAATAAAGAACATATAGTAACGCCGGTCAAAGGAAGGCAAATACGTAAAGCATTATTTGGTTGTAAATCCCACAGTTTGAAGAAGCCACTAGCAGTTCCATTCATTGGCCCCTACTTATTGCTGCAAACTTTTATATTCAACTGCAAGCTTTTGAAAAGTTGTATTGGTTTCTTTGATAGTTTCTACCCTCAAATTGACCATCACAACCATCTTTCTTGAATCTTGAACTTCTTCTGGTGAGTTTCTCATCTTCTTTCTTCGTTTTTTTGGCATCTACAGCAACATTTAAACGTGTTTTATTCTTGAAAATACACGTATGTGCATGCACTGTTATGGGTTTATATGTCAGTGATGTATTTACACATATATCTTGTAGTTTCTTTTCTGCAGAAAGCTGTCTTTGAATAATTTGTAGAAAGGAGTCTTGAAACAACCTTCCTTTTTGAATCTTTTTATGTTTCCTTACCTTTTTCGAATCTACTGTGTTCTTTCTCCCCATCCCACAAAACAATACATAAAATAATCGCCAACCCCGTTCTAAATTTCCAATCTTTACGAAAAAGGTATCTTTGTATCCACTAATGGAATGCTCAAGATTTCTTGAACAATCAGCAGAATCTTGGTTCACCATCGTTTCAGACTTTCAGTATTGGTTGGCTTGTGGTCTGCTTTATTTGGATTATGGGGGATTCGTCCTTTTTTCTTTCTTTTGATCGAAATTAGTAGGAATCTAAAAGGGGGTATGTTACTAAACTGTTCATAGGGGGTTTAAAGAACTGCACAGAAGTCGAAAATGGATAAACAGTTTGCAGTGAAGGTGGAAGATGGAAGAAAAGGGGTTGATGGTGATCCATCTGTTGGTCCAATTTACCGTAATCTTTTAGCAAAAGATGGGTTTCCTTCTCTCGATTCTGACTTGAAAACCACTTGGGATGTCTTTAGGTATTTCATATTTCTTGAATATTGTTGTTGATTTCTTTATAGAAAATGTAAAAGGTAAAGATTTCTTGCTCATTCTGCAGGAATTCTGTTGAAAAATATCCTGATAACAGGATGCTAGGATGGCGTGAGATTGTGGATGGCAAAGTATGTGTTTTTTGGTAGCTTATGTACTAATATGAACTGGAAAATGGAAGCTGCCACCCTATAAACTTGCCCCATATTTGTGGTTTAACTTTTCAGTGGGGGCCATACATATGGAGAACTTACAAGGCTGTATATGAAGAAGTTTTGCATGTTGCTTCAGCTGTAAGAGCTTCTGGAATTGGATCTGTAAGGATCGTTATATGGTTGAAATAACTTTCTTGGTTTTAACTTTTAACTTTTGGGAGTTTTTGCTTTCTTTTTCCGATGAATACTTTTCGATTTATGTATGATAATAGGGCTGTAAAGTGGGAATCTATGGATCAAATTGCCCCCAATGGATTGTGGCAATGGAGGTTAGTTTTTTTGGCTCTACTGGTGTAATGATTTCTGAACTTTTTGTTGGTTAATTTGTTCCATAATGATCGAATTCTGAGTAAACCGTTTACGTTTAATTAGGCTTGCAATGCTCAGAGTTACATTTCTGTACCTCTCTATGATACCCTTGGTAAACCATTTTCTTCTGTTTTTTTGGGTCCAAATCTTCTTATTTTCAATCAGAATGTTAATGGCTTTTGAAGCTTTTATCTGAGCAGGATCAGGAGCAGTCAACTTTATATTGGACCATGCTGAAGTTGATATTGTTTTTGTGCAAGATAAAAAAGTTAAAGAAGTGAGGACCTAAACTTTACCAGACTTTGTAGCAAAATTGGTATATTCGACCATAAAAGTTTCAAGCCTTCTGTTTATCCATTTGTAACAGTGCTTTAATTTTGCAGTTATTGAATCCGGAATGTACACATACTCAACGGTTAAAGCGTGAGGATCATTTTTAAATAGTTGCAACAGCCGAAATACGAGTGAACTAACCTTCTTTTCTTGATTTCCTCTGTGATTTCAGTCATTGTTTGCTTCAGTTCAATGAAGGATGAGGAAAAGGATAAAGCAGATTCCATGGGTATAAAATCGTATTCATGGAGCGAGTTCGTTCAAATGGTTAGTTTTTCGTTTGGATTTAGTCGGCATAAATTCCATTTTGCTGTTTTCTAAGCTGTTTTCATGTTGTTATATTGTCAACTAGGGGAGTGAACATCCATCAGAGCTGCAAACACCTAAACCAACTGATATATGTACGATTATGTACACTAGCGGCACCAGTGGAGATCCAAAAGGCGTTATATTGACTCATCAAAACGCTACAACAAACATAAGAGGGGTCGATCTTTTCATGGACCAATTCGAAGACAAGGTATTATCACCTACTAAATGTAAAAAAAGTATCAAACTTGTTCTTGAGCACTAAAAAGTGAAGAACAAAAATGTCAAGAATCTTGATCACATACCCACCTGAAGATTGTGTTCTTATCATTCTGCTTTTGCTTTCTTTATCAGTATCTTGATCTTTTACCTGTTTATGGTCATATTTTTGTGCTTGGAATATGGAACCAAGATAGATGACAGTCGATGATGTTTATATATCTTTCCTGCCTCTTGCTCACATCCTTGACCGCATGATTGAAGAGTACTTTTTCCGTAAAGGTGCTTCTGTTGGCTTCTTTCATGGGGTAAAAATCGTGAACTCGATCTCTTTTTGGTTATAACAAGGTGTTTGTGGTTGCTTTCGATGCCTTCCCACTTTACCCTCAATCTAATTGATCATAACTATTTGAAGGACATCAACGCACTGAGAGATGATATGATGGAGCTGAAGCCGACATTTTTGGCTGGAGTACCTAGAGTTTTGGAAAGAATTCACGAAGGTATCATAAGATGGGCCTGTTTATTAGCAGCTTAATAGGCTTAATGGGACTTACAGCTTATTCGGTCGGCTATAATGACTGTTTGGTTGTGACTTAATGATATAGAAAGTGGCTTATTCAGTAAGCTTCTAGGGGGGAGCTTTATGCAGAAAATCAAGTTTTTCTCAAACCTGTCCCTCCAGATTAAAAAACACGTTTCTTCCATCACTGAAAAAAACTCCTCCAAAACAAAAATCTTGCAATCTATACAGACAAATTAGAATACGTAGACAACTTTATCCATACAGGACTTAATGGAAAACCAACCAAACAACATACTTTCAGCCTGTATGGCAATCATTATGCAATTGTATTGTATCCCATTTCGTTTCTATATTTCGTCTTTCAGGCGTGCTTAAAGGACTAGAAGAAGTTAATCCAAGGAGGAGGAAAATATTCAACATTCTATACAACTAGTACTCGACCGCTTCTCTTGCTATGCTCTTTTTATTTTCCGTATGAAGGAAATAATATGAGTTTTAAAATCAATATGCAGCAAACTTAAATGGATGAAAGCAGGTTACAAGCAGAAATATGCATCACCGGTTGCAGATATGCTTGCTTTCAGGAAGGTTGGTCCTGCCATCAGATTCTTTGCGTTTATGCACACCAAAGTGTATTCTATCATCGAGTTTTTACCAAATCTTTTGTTGAATCTTAGGTTAAGAACAGGCTGGGTGGTCGAATTCGTCTCATAGTATCTGGAGGAGCTCCATTAAGCAGTGAGGTTGAAGAGTTCTTGAGGGTTACATCTTGTGCTTTTGTGTTGCAAGGATATGGTAAATATACAAGAAAACAAACACAAATAATTGGTTGTACATAGACCCTTTGGCTTTCTAAGTTGGCTTAATTGTTACAGGGATGACTGAGACCTGTGGTTTAGCCACTTTAGGATATCCAGATGAAATGTGCATGCTTGGAACCGTTGGTTCAGCATTCGTGTACACAGAGTTACGTCTAGAGGAGGTTCCGGAAATGGGTTATGATCCATTGGCGGATCCTCCTCGTGGTGAAATATGCGTCAAGGGGAGAACTTCTTTTGCTGGTTACCACAAGAATCCAGAGCTGACCAATGAGGTTATGAAAGATGGGTGGTTTCATACAGGTTAATACCCTTATTCATATGTGAATACTATACATAATTCTGCGAATAACTTGATCTATGTGCATCATCAGGTGACATAGGGGAGATGCAACCAAATGGGGTGTTGATAATTATTGATAGAAAGAAACATCTGATAAAACTATCTCAAGGGGAATATGTTGCACTTGAATACCTGGAGAAAGTTTACGGCATCACTCCGATTGTTGAAGATGTACATTTATTCATTCATCTTCGCGTTCACTAGGACTTTTATAAGTTCGGTCCTATTGTTCTTTTCAGACTAATTAAAGAAGGAAGTTCCTTTAGAAACCCAAAATTGATTAGGAACTCGGGAAATTCCCACAGCGCACGTGTCCCTCTTCAGGATGTATATTCATCTTGAATAACACATTCATAATGAATATGGAAGTGTTTATTCATTATAATATGCCACGTGTTATTCATCATGAATGTCGTAACATATTCATAATGAATATGGAAGTGTTATTCATCATGAGTCACACATTCATGATGAATATGTTACAACATTCATGATGAATAACACGTGTTGTGCTGTGGACGGTTCGCAGGTTCCTAATCAGTTTTAGGTTCCTAAGGGAACCTGCCCCCAGACTAAAACTCATAATTATGTCAATAGATTTGGGTTTACGGGGATAGCTTCAAATCAGCGTTGGTTGCAGTCGTTGTACCAAACAAAGAGCATGCAGAAAGATGGGCACATCAAAATGGGAATAAAGTTTCTTATGCTGAGTTATGTAATCTTACACAACTACGCGAGTATATCATTTCCGAGCTTAAATCTACTGCAGAGAGAAACAAGGTATCGTATGTATACATCTGTATGAAGATCTTTACGAGTTTGTTTATCAATGATATCATCTAATACGCATACTGCTCTGGGTTCATGTAGCTACGAGGTTTTGAACATATAAAGGCCATAATCGTGGAGCCTCGGACATTTGAAGATGAAAAAGATTTGCTGACTGCAACTCTGAAGAAACGAAGAGATAAACTGATGAAGCGTTACAAGGTAATCCAACTTTTTTAAGCACATTTGTTGATGGTTTTCGGTGTTTTTGATTGTGTATGATGATATAATGCAGGCGGGGATCGACATTCTTTACAAGAACTTGACTGCGAACAAAAGCTGAGATATATTTATTGTGATTGCAGCTGTGGTTGTGTGTTTTAAGTTGGTGTGCCATGATGCTATCCTTCGTACCTTCGTTTCATTTGTTTGAATTCAAATAAAAAATATGTAGTTTCACTTATTTATTGAAGTAAATGATTTTATAAGTGTGATTCAGAATGAAGTATCTAAGCAATATATTCCGCCGAAAGAGAGAAATATAAGAGAATTGAGAAATCTCCAAATTTAGAATAAGAGAGAAAATATAACATATGTGTTAGAGATGCTCTGAAAACCCTAACTTCCGTAGACCCCACCCCCACCCTATCCTCGCGTGACTTGTATCCACACTCACTACAGATCTCTATCTTAAATCTACTATGTTCTCTACAAACTCCTATCAAAGATCATGTCCTCGAAAATATCTAATATTGTCATGTCCAACCTCAATTACCCATCCCACGTCCTTGCTCTGGCCTCGACTAAAACACTTTCTACTTTCCTCACCACGATTGGTCTCCTATGCAACTTACAACTTCTCTCCAACACTCGGGTGTTTGTTTGTTTGTTAACAACTTAATGAAGTTAATGGGGCTCACAACTTACTCGTAAGCTTCTAGGGGGGCTTTATGTAAAAGACCAAGTTTTTCCAAAACCATTTTTCCCAATTAAAGAACGTGCTCCTTCCATCTATGGAAAAAACCCTACCAAATAAAGGCATTCCCAATATACAGACATAATCCACAATCACAACTTAATGAAAAACCAACCACACAACTCAGACAACTTTATTCATACAGGACTTAATGAAAAAAACTAATCAAAAAGTCCCTCAGCCCCATACAGCATGACTTGAGGCACAGCAACCCATGGCAGCTCCCCACTTTAGCCACACTGTCTTTATGCAATTAGATAATGAAAACTGAAGGACAGGACATGGGCACAAGCTGCGCCATTTTACAACCAATCCACAAGAAACAAATACAATTGCAACAGAAAAATCCACTCCAACCATATGTTAGGAATTAGGATACAAGTATTAAGAAAAATAATGGTGATCTTGTTTTGTTTTTCATATATTAGAAAAAGAAAGGAAGCATGATACTGGCAACTCTCTTTTGCAAATGTTAGAAACCCAAACAGACAAAACATGGAACTGGTTTTTCAAAGATTATTCAATTCATTCATACTGAACCAACAACTGTTGCTAAACTAAGATACATGATGATAAGTAGTATTGCGCAACCCTCAATAACCTTGGAGATACAAGCCGTTGCTGTCCACATCCCCCATTGCTGAATTTGGTATTTCATAGTTTTGATTGATGCTCTCAAATCTCAAGTAGAAGTGATATGTGAAAATGGAAACCCGAGTGAGTGAGGGTTCTATCTTCGGTTTCTGCTCTCCTCCTTGTCCTTTTCCCGTTTCTTGTACAGCTTCTCCAGAACACGTTTTGCTTCACATTGGGGGAAGTTTTCAAGATCATAGTAATGTGGAGCAATATCGACAATCCTGAAGGTAAACAGAACAGAAAAACTCAGGACTTTGATAGAATGGAATTGGTGTTAAAGATGGACCATACCATCTTGAACCTCAAATCTAAAATAATCTATGACTCTTTATCACTAGGCTTGCTTTTTCCAGAAGTTGAGAAAGAAATACATGAATCTTGCTTTCGTTGATTCTTTGTTTAAATGTGATTTCCCATAATAAGTTAATAACTACCAGTATATAGAGAACCCACAATCCTCGTTATCCAACCAAATTGGCTATCAACCATCCAACAAACTTATCTTTTAATTATGAGTATTCAGCAATTGTTGAGCTATTTCACGTATTAGGATTTATAAGTTCATCTATTCGTAACTTCAAAATCATTGATAAAAAGCAGAAGGAAACATCACAACCTCAGACCTCAATATGAACTGATCTAAACATAAACATTTCAACAAGAACACATCTTGCAATCAAAACCTTTTGACATGTTCAGCTTTTTGACAGAAGGTTCTCTTCCCATGCTACAGTAGAGTTAGGGGGTTTCAAAAGCATTAGGCAAAAAAATAATAGGTAACAGCAGACTTGCTGAAAGAAACCATCACAAAAGAAAGAAAAACAATGAAACAGAAATAGCAGATGGAAATGAAAACAAGTAGAATAATTAAAAAGAAAAATAATGGAATATCTGGGGTTTTCCTCCTTTGTCCATTGTTTATTGTAGAAATTATTTGTGCCTCTTGAGTAAGGCACACTCCTTAGGGCTTATCCAGACGACAGATATACATGGAACATGGGTTGCAAATGAAATGATTTGTAAGTTTTGGTCACAGAGGCCTCTTGAGTAAAGCAGTTTCGTCTGACAATCTTTAAAGGGTAGTAAACTGTAATTTTCCAAAGTTTATAGCAACCCATAGCCACAGCACACACTCCATGTGTGTGTGTGTGTATATATATATATATAGACTTGGGATCATGTGAGACCAGCCTGTTTTCGTGAGACCCGTGAGACCAAGATTTTACACTTGAAACTTCACAGCAAAATGCTGTGAAGGTGACTTTTTAAAACCTTCACAGTGTTTTTGCTGTGAAGGTTCGACTTTTTTAAACCTTCACAGTGTTTTTGCTGTGAAGGTTACGCGTAAAAATGTGGTCTCACGGGTCTCACGAAAACAGGCTGGTCTCACGTGAACCCAACCCTATATATATATATATATATATATATATGAGAATGGAGGGATACAACAACCATGAGAATAATGCAGAGGTAGATAAAAATGAAATCTTATTAGTGAAGATGACTAACCATTCACCACGAACATCTGTAACAGTGCGTATGAAATTTCTGCTTGTTAGGACATATTCATTGTAAATAACCCATTCTGGCTTGTGGTCCAAACAATTTGATGGGTGCAAATGGACAACCTGCAAATGGAAAACAGAGTATGGATCAATAGTACGTCAAAGCCAATATAATTTTTTTTGGACAGCAAAGCCAATATAATTTAATTCTCCATGTTAAATAATAAATGTTGAAACGAGTAAAGAAAGAAGCAACAAACTTGATTATCTTTCACGGTCAAATAATGTCCAGTGCGCTCCAAATGGGCAACCTGCATGAAGTACCCTGCTAACATAGCTTTTCTGATGTTGATGTAGTAGTCGCGGCTGTTAAAATCTGTGCTGCATAACTTGAGGTTGAACCTGGCCATTATACGAGCTAGCTGTTGCCTCACGTTATCTGCAGACTTAAGTGCTCTATGATTTACAAAGTTCTCGTAACACCATGATTGATCCTCGTCTGAAAGCAAACACAGATAAATATTAAGATCAATTTGCATCCTAAAATCTTTAGTAGCTTTATGACAAGGTAAAGAACTTACTATTTTGCTTGTAAGCGTGATACACATTCAACAGCGTAAGATGATCCCCATCAATGTGTCCAAATCGAGCTTTTGCTTCGTCTGCAGCCTTCTGAGCTTCTCTAGGCCGGACAAAGCAATTGGGTACTAAAGAAAAAATTGGGTTATCACAGAGGAGGCCCACGGTTGGTCAGCAGATTCATAGAGGCGAGATCACACCATTTGCTTCATGAAGAATACTGAGAAATTGCAACTATTTGCATCAGCACTTCCTTAGAAATTCTATGGTGCATGCCAACCGGGGGCATGGAACCGAGACAAGACAGTTGCTGATGACAACCTAAGACACATCTAACCACAAGCATGCCGCCATGTACATGCATCTCAGAAAAAGCATATCCCCATCTCCAGAGATTATACCAAAATAACCCAGTATATGGCGGGGTCTGGAAAAGGTAAAAAATGTTACCACCTGAGGTGGAGTCTAAGGAGGGTAAGATGTAGGCAGACCTCACTTCTACCCCCAAGAGTAAAGTGGCAATTTTCATGCATCTGCAGAGATTATGGTCTATGCAAATGCATGATGAAATATTAACCAAGATGCCAATATGCATCAAGCATATTGCAACCCTATCGTTTCTATTTCCAATTTAAGATATACTAATACTATGCAAGAAAAAAGATGATAAGAATGTAGTATGTACCTGATAGCATAGCTGAGATGGAAAGAATTTCGTTAGAACAGTTGAATTCAGAACTCACTACAAGCATCTTCCCCATCTGAGGATCTAGGGGAAATTCGCTCATAATTTCACCCAATTTTGTCAAATTCCCTTCATCATCTAATGCTCCCAAGTAATTTAAAACCTCTAGTGCGCGCATCAAAGTCTCCGGAGCAGGAGGGTCCATAAAATCAAAATGAACCAGATCATCTATACCAAGTTTCTTCAAAGTGAGAACAGTATTTGCAAGGTTGGATCTAAGAATCTCTGGGTAGGTCTGCGGTTGAAGATCGTTGTTGAAACTTCTCTCTGTGTACAGTCTGAAACATTTACCTGGTTGTGTTCTTCCAGCACGACCTGATCTCTGGTGAGCACTTGCCTTTGATATTGGAGAAACCAACAAAGACTCGACACGCACACGTGGATTATAGACTTTCTGCTTTGCAAAACCAGGGTCTATGACATAAACTATCCCATCTATGGTTAAAGAAGTTTCAGCAATGTTGGTTGAAATGACAATCTTCCGACCAGCAGGACCGCCCTCTGTTGTCGGAGATGGAGCAGGTTCAAATATCTTCTGCTGCATAGCCGGAGGCAGTGTTGAATACAAAGGAACAACTTTCACAGGCCCCACCTGGTCTCCCATATTTGCGACTTCTTTTGTTATCTTGCGGCATGCATCTTCTATTTCCTCTTCACCAGTAAGGAAAACGAGTATATCACCAGGAGGTTCACACATATGTATCTGTACAACTGTTCGGATTGCTGCTTCAAGGTAGTCCCTTTCGGGTTCTTGGGTATAGAAAATTTCGACAGGATGAAGTCTTCCCGGAACTTTCATTAAAGGTGCACCAAAGAAATAACCCTGAAACTTTTCAGCTTCAAGAGTAGCACTCATTACAACTAGCTTAAGATCGGGTCTATTTTTCAGCACTTCCTTTAGAAGCCCAAACAAAACATCAGTAGCCAACGTTCTTTCATGTGCTTCGTCAAGAATTATCACTTTATACCTCTCCAAAAGTGGATCTGTCATGGCTTCTCTCAATAGCATACCATCTGTCAAGTATCTACAAAGCCAACGAACAGATGTCAGTCGAATAATCAGATTAAGAGATGTGAAAGCAATTCATTTACGGGAATCCTACTAAAGCTTAGGCCCTGTTTGTTAGCAAGCTTAATAGGACTCGCAGCTTATTCGGTCAGTGATACATGACTTTTTGATAGTGGCTTAATGATATAGAAAGTGGCTTATTCAATAAGCTTCTAAGAGGGGGAGCTTTATGCAGAAAGCCAAGTTTTTTCCAAACCATCTCCCAATCCAAAAACATGCTTCTTCCATCTATGAAAAAACTCTCCCAAACAAAAAAGTGTCCCAATCTATTAATCTAAACAGACAACTTATTCATAAAGGACTTCATGAAAAATCAACCAAACAGCCCCTTACTTCAATACAGTTCTGGCACTGCTGCAGTCTTCAAAACGAATGCTGTAACCAACTTCCTCACCAATTGTTACATCCATCTCCTCTGCAACTCGACGAGAAACAGACATTGCAGCCACCCTACGAGGTTGGGTGCAACCAACCATGAATTTCTTGCGTCTATCTGCACTCTCTACGTCAACAGCTTCCAAGACAAATTGAGGAATCTGTTGGTCAGAATTTAACAATTCAAATTAAAAGCTCCACAACAAAATTTTCACCAAACAGAATACTTTTAACGAACAGATACTCTGCACCATCAATGTACTAACAGACGTAATCCAGAGAATCAGAAAACTAAAACAATGAAGACATGGCTAATTTCCCAATAAAAACCGATACATAAAAGGCAGATCTTGACATAGAAAAAGGAACATGAATGAAACTAGAAATAGACTTAGAATCGATAGCAATGGCGATATGAAAAAATAGCAAAAGAGAAGTGTTAGTTAACATAATGGAAGGACTAACCTGTGTGGTTTTACCACTACCAGTTTCACCGACTAAAATAAGGGTTTGATTGTCCTTGAGTGCTTTCAAAAACTCTTCTTTCTGATGCCAAACTGGTAAGGTCTTCCTCTTCTCCAAGATATCGTAATAACGCTGAGAGTAAGGGCGTCCATTCCACCTGTTTACCAGAGGCATACCACCGGTGGTGGTGGTGTTGATACCATGAACGGCACCTCCGCCGTTAGCTTTGTTAACCTTCGCCGTAGCTGTGGCTTCATCGACGACATCGAACAAACTGACCTTCCGTTTCCTTTCTGTACCCATCTAATTACTGTGGTCGTAGTTATGGAAGAAATCCCAAATCTTTGGGGGTTTGCAGCAATTCCCCTAGAGAGTCTCTGATAAGAAAGTCAGAAACCCTAATATGAGTTCCAAGGGGAAAGAGGGACGATAGACGTTCGCTTCAACTTTATATATATAAATGTTTCACCGTAACTTGCTCAAATACGATTTTCATACGTTTATAAAATATATTTTTAATAATTGTTTGAAAATTTATACTAAAACAAAATAAATTCTTGTATCAACGAAATCAGTAACGGATCCAGATTTTTTATTCGGTGGGTCACCTTCAAGGTAGACTAAAAGCCCGTAAAATCGTTCGATGTATTTTTAACCTAATTACAACGTTTCGAGAGATTTTTAAAATTTTTTGATTGATTTCGAGAGATTTTTTAATGTTTTTGTTGATTTCGAATAACTTTTTTGATTGATTTCAATAGATTTTTTTTGCTAGGGTAACGGTTTTGATTGGGGTTGAGGACCCGTGGAAAAATGTAATAGAAAGAACTGAAAGGTAAATCATGTAAAACATAAATTCTAACTCCAACTTTTGAAATGTTGGTACAAGATCATACCAACATGTACCAATTGAGAAAAGTTGGTCTCATTTAAGTTGGTACCAAATATAATTAATTGATACATGATATAAAATTATATTTACTAATTATAATTAATTGATACACCGTGTAAGACAAAAATCATGATATCAAACCATATTCACACCCTACAAATCACCATAATAATTTTGTCAAAACCCAAAAATTGAGGTTATATTATATGTCATCATAGCCCAAAAACATTTCATGGAGGCATGGGCTACCTATATACACTACAAATGGGTCAAAGCCCAGGTTTCGATTAGATATGCACAATGGTCCGAGATTTGAAATCGGTTAAAAAGGGTAGGTTACAAGCCCGACCCAAGTCATTGGTTCGATTACACATTTTGGATCATAAATCAGTTTGGACAAAGCTTATCAAGGCCCGTTTTTGTTGTTTAAACTTGGCTCGAGCCCATTTTTAGTTAAGAACGGGTTAACGATCCATCCAAGGACCGATTAAAATTCGAAAGTGAACCCAAAAAAGCAGGTAAACATTAGCCACTGGCATTGCTACCATAACGCACCTGATGCAAATTGTTCAACTAAAATGTTCCCACGAAGAGTGGTCACTTCTGATGCCTAGCGATGAATGCCAAATGAAAACGATGATGCACAATTGAAATTTGAAACTAAAGGGTTGTTTACCAAAATTTGTGAACAAGTGTTGATTGGAGTAAGAGGTCTGATTATGATAAGCATTGACCGGATAAAAATGACCGTTATATCCTTCTGTCCATATTGACTGAAATATTGTTTAACAAAACTTATGTGTTAAATACTAGCTAAAAACTCACTGTTACCAAATCTTTATTGTGTATAACTTTAGATTCTTTTAACTTTATAAAAACATATGATGTTCAATATAATATAATATCATATTATAGATTAACAACACATCTGTGTAAAAACAATCACAGACGACGCATCCACCCCACCAAATTACAGCTTAACAACACATCCTCGACAACGACTCTCACATCTCTCCAAAACAACTGAAACGTAGAAATTTATGTTTTTAAAACAAAATTCCGAATCCCCACACCTTCAAATTCCATTCTTTCCCGAAGAAAGTTTCTTCTTGTAGGCATAAATATACATAACATTATTCTTCTTTAAGGGTTGCTGAATGGTTTGATGCAGAATAATTAAATGGTCAGGATGATTAAGAGATTCTCATGATATAAGACAAAATGAAATATAATTGTTTCGTAATTGTTTACAATGAAATTAGGACGCTTAATGGTTAAGGGAGGCGCATGATACAAAAACATTAAGAGGCAGATTTTTTTTTGCCAAACAAGATTCACCTCTTAACGATTCAGAGACTGTCTCTTAATGGAACTATTAAGAGGTAAACAAACAACCCCTGAGTCTAGTTTATTTAGTTCACTAAATACAATTCACATTTGGTATCAGAACTCGGTTGCTAAGAGGGACTTGACTTCAGTTTGAGAGTAATGGATGGTGGTGTGTTCGAGTGAAAACAATATAAAAGTCTTATAGTATACTGCACGCTTTCTAAATCCAAAAAACTACACAAGATAACTGTAGAAGGGAGTAGCTTAGCACACCTCACGTTCCCATGTTCGATGGAGATCACAATCACTAGAGTCTCCTTTACGGAAAACTTATTGCGGTCGAATGAGTAATAGAACATAGTGGAGACCAAGTTCTAACATAATGAGAGAACCTCACAATAACCCAAGAAAAAACCTCAACGAAGGAAAAAAGCTATCTGTTCTCGACCATTAACAAGTCAATTATGAAGACGATTTCTAAGAAGGAAATGTCGAATCAGGTGTAGGTTCTATGAAGGTGAGATATCGAGCCAATGCGCTGGTGTATAAAACACAAATCAATAGGCTTTGGAAGATCCTCTGAGGTTTTGTTGATGAACACGAGAGATATTACAACAAAAAATAGGTTTACGGACGCTTAAAATGTTTAAATGTCCAAATAACATAATTTATATGATTTAAGTTTATATGATCAAACAATAAGACGTCTTATCTAAAAGTGTTACAATAGGTTTATAGAATACTTTTAGCCGTTTTAACAAGTATTCTTAGAACACTTCTAAAGTGAAATATCGTATTAGCTATTTTATTACTGTCAAGATGTGTCCCATAAACCCATTCTTTTACAGGACAATTATGTTTATATGACATTTTCTTCAAATAGTGTCGTATAAATTAACTAATACTATATTATAGATATGTTAAAAGAGTCATATTACACTTATTAAAATGCCAAAAAAACGTTCTATGAACTTATTATAACACTTTTAGATATAATGTCTTTTTATTTGGTCTTATAAACTTAAAGTCCTATATTTCATTCGGGTGCTTAAACATTTTAGGCATCCTATAAAACCTACTTTGTCATAGTGAGAGTCGATCATTGATTAATTTGTTAGATCGAAGACTGTTTTAGATGATACAACAAACTACGGAGAGATCACGGATGATGCCAAGGTCGTCGCATATTTTATGAGGACATTTACAGATAAATGGAACTTCATTATTTGTTCAACTAATGAAGCAAAGAACAACGATCAAATCTTAGTAGATGGACTTCAAATATCACTACTGGTGCATGAACATAAATTCAGATAAGACAACGCACAACTACATTGGTGATGTAGATGATAAGAAGAGTATTTGAGGCCACATCTTTATGCTTGGAAATGGGATTATGCAAGAAATGAACAACCTGCAACCCAGTTGTATATTGCACAAGTCAAACAGTTTGGTTTAGTTTACTGTAATACATCAATTGAATTTGTATAACGTGCATGTGGGCACGTATAACGTATTATTTTGATCTACGAAAATGACACACCTATGTATTGGTTAGGGAGTCGCAATTAAATACAAAATAATAATTAAAAAAAGATATGAAATATTAATTAGAAAATCCTGTAAAAGTATTTTATGTATATAATATATGATAGGGAGGATCAAAAATAATAAATGTTGTTGCAGGTGGAAGGAATTATATATTTGATGTGGCAAAGCAATAATAAGGTGTGTGGTATTTCTGCATTTTGCATATCCCGCGGATATTGATTGAATCAAGGGCGGGCATGCAGTTATGACTCCATGAAATCGGGATAAGATTCCACCATTTATATACACTATATTATATGTATGTATGTATGTATGTGTGTGTGTGTATGTATGTATGTATGTATGTATGTGTGTGTGTGTGTGTATGTGTATGTGTATGTGTATGTGTATGTGTATGTGTATGTGTAACGTCGTTATAAAAAAGACAGAATCAATGGAGGCTTAACTGATTTGTGACGAGTAGGAGATCCGATCTCGTATCTATACTATATTATAAAGCATTTGACAAAACTCTTAAAAACCATTTTTTATGCATAAAATATTGTTTATTAATGCATGTTACTTACAACTCAAGATTACAAGTAGATTGTGCGTAATTACAACTTATTAAAGCTTCATATTTGAATTCATGTAACTAACTATAGATAAACATAATCAAATAGAGGATAAACATTTTATTTTAAATATAAAAAATCTAAAATATAATTAGAATAATTATTGAGTTTTAACATAATACTTAATTATTATCTTTATAAAATGTTATATTATTAATCCAAAAATAAATTATTTCATTATTAAACTTAAATTAAATTATAATTAAAAAATAAATTAAAGAAATTACATAAAAAATGAGAAGTTTTAAATAGTTGATTTGATATTAATATTGATATATATTTTTTTTTCAAAATTTTATGATATCTTCAAATTTATATTTTATTTAAAAATAAAATCATTATTGTTTTCTTAAAAACACATAAAATCGTGTTATAATATTGACAAAGACAAATAACAAAATAGAACATTAAAATCGAGATGTATTTCGCTGCATTGCGCGAGTACCCTTCTAGTTATTAACAAATAAGTATGATTCGGTTACATAATCATATCTCAGTTTTTAAACAGATTAATTATGGATGATATTGGTTTTGAATAATGAAGGGATATATTTATGTTATTATGCTACGGTATCTATAATATGAAATAAAACCTAAGTGATAATGGTTATGCATGCTAAGTGGCATTACATCCATAAATTTATCTGTGAACATGGATCTAATGTCGACAATTATATTGGTAGTTTGACCAGTGTGGTTTGTTCATCTGTGAACATGTCTTATTAGTTCATACACAGCTTAGAAGTTTATATGTGAACATAGCTCAAAAGTACATATACAACTTATAAGTTTATCTGTGAACATGGCCTAGAAGTTCATGCATAACAATTAGCAAATAATTCAACATATGCACAAAATTCATATATAGGCGGTGTAAATAGTTCCCTAAATCGAGATGAACATGCACCCAATCTTTTCTTCCATATACGACGAAACATGCAATTGATTTATTAGTTCTGTACACAAGTGAATAAGAGAAAACAAATGAACGAGTGCAAAATGTAAATACAAGTGAACATAGTGCCACATGTGAACAAATGTGACAGTT